TTTTAATTTTCTTGTGTATTGAAATCAGTTCACAAAGGTAGAGTTCACCTTTTGTCCTCTTCTATAAATGTGACTTGGGTAAAATTATTTTTTCTATTTTTATTTTTTTAGTTGTAATTGGACACAATATCTTCATTTTATTTATATGTGGTGCTAAGGATCGAACCCAGGGAGGGCTTCACTCGTTCTAGGCAAGCACTCTACCTCTGAGCCACAACCCCAGCCTGGTAAAATTCTTCTATAATTTCAGAATGCATAGTTGCTTCTGCGTAGGATCCTACAGAAAGAAATTGCTTAGGTTCTTAACTATTGTTGTTTTGGACTTATATTCAGATTAATTTGCTTTCTGCTTTAATGATGACCACCAAAAGTGGGTGCCCACATTGGTAATTCACAAATAGATTGGGGAAGTTTCACAGTTACTCTTTAAGGAAGACTGCTGCAACTAAGAAAATGTGTTCATACTTCCTTGGGTATGTGACACTTGGGCAAATAACAGATTGTTCTTGCCTGATCAAGTTTTAGTAACTTGTGCAAAAACTGAGGTCTCAGCTGGGTATTGACTCATTTTTTTTGCCCAGGTGATAATTTTTGTGAAATTGCCCATTATCAGTAAGTTCCCATGGATTCTTACAAAAGGGTAAACTCACATTCTCTCATGAAATATTCATGAGGAGGGAGCACTCCTAGTTAAGAGTGGGCATTTTCCAAGTATTTTTCCTTTAGCCACAGTTGAGAGTTTTCTTCGAAAATATCCCCAAAAGGTCTGTTTTTCCAGAAATTACTGATGTGAAGGGTTTTTAATGAGATGGCAGTTGAACACTTCTCTTAAGAGACTGGAAGAGCCATAAGGGCAAGGATAAGAATCATCTGCTGATGGCTGGGCACTGAGCCTGGAACACAGGAAGAGTTCTGTAGACAGTGAAGAAAAGAGCAATTGCAATAACTTAACTCGTGGTTTCTTTCCTCACTGCTTAAGGGAGGGATTCTCTCAGGCATTTTAAAGGGGGATACTATCTTTTATACATTTTTAGGATCTTTTGGAATGTAACACATTTGGCTTTCTAAACCCAGCAAGGAGGCGCCCTCTCTTGGACCTTGGGCCACATTTTGAGAAAAATGCTCAATTCAAAGCTTTTTTTCTTCTTCTTCTTTTTTTTTTTTTTTTCCTTTATGGTGCTGGGAATTGAATCTAGGGCCTTAGGCATGTCGCATGAGTACTCTACCACTAAGCTACACTATTGGACTCAACTCAAAGTAGTAATTTTTTTTTTTTATACTAGGTTTTTAACCATGGGTGCTTTGCTGCTGAGCCACATCACCAGTCTTTTCTTTTTATTTTATTTTATTTTATTTTGAGGAAGGGTCTCTCTAAGTTACTTAGGACCTGGCTCAGTTGCTGAGCTGGACTTGAATTTGCTATTCTCCTTCCTTAACCTCCCAAGTTGCTGGGATCACAGGCAGCACCACTGCATCTGTCATTAAAATATTTCTTTATCTTGACCAGCAGGACCAAAATTTGGCCCTCCTAAATGTTTTGTGGATGTGTTAAAATGTTAATCTTTTCCGGTTGATTCTTTTTTTTTTTTTTTTTAAATATTTATTTTTTAGTTTCAGGTGGATACAGTATTGTTTTTTATTTTTATGTGGTGCTGAGGATCAAACCCAGTGCCTCACACATGCTAGGCGAGCACTCTACCCCTTGAGCCACAATCCCAGCCCTTCTGGTTGATTCTTAAATCATCAGCGTTTCAGCAAATAGCTAATAGTAATGAAGAACTTAGATCCTTGTTATATGTTGGAGTTAAAAGGTTTTTTTTCCTCCAAACAAACCCCATTGTTTAGAAACTTCTGTATATTGAGAATACATTTATTTTTTTAAATTGGCTTTTTTTAGTTATACTTAATGAGAATATGTACATTTAACGGTGAAGTATATCATCCTTGGGTAGCAATATGCTAAGGTTCTTAGTTTGATGTTTGAATTTGAGAAGGGTAAGGCAATTTGTAATAATCTTTGAGTTACATCTTTGTTGTTGTTGTTTGTTTTTTTAATGTGGTGCCCGGGAATCGAACATAGTGCCTTGTGCATGCTAGGCAAGCACTCTACCACTGAGCCACAACCCCGGCCCCTTGAGTTACTTCTAGTAGCAGAAAATTATTTATTTGACAGTGTTGTTTTTTTTTTTTTTCCCTCCCCTGTAGTATTATGTGTATTTCCTACGTTGCAGGGTATTTCCTGTTTCTACCTGAATATATTTTCCTCCTTCAGTGGGGAGGTGGTGGTGCTAAGGACCAAACTCAGGGCCTCATTGAATATTAGGCAAGGGCTGTATCACTGTAAACTGGAAAACTTTGAAGCCTTTTGCACAGTGCTTTTTAGGATTTTTTACTGTGACATCTGCTATTGGTATTACTACTATTGGTCTATTTGCCCTGCCTCCCTGCCCCCCCTGCCCCAATGTTGTATTTATCTCCACAGGTCTGTTTTGTTTTGTGCTTCTGGGGATTGAACTAGGACCTTGAGCATGCTAGGCAAAGCTCTTTCACTAAGCTATATCCCCATCCCATCTTCAAAGCTCTGACACTCTATCTGCCCTGCACATTTGTCTGAACTCTTGTCTTTATTGATTTATAGGTGGCATGACAGTTTTTTTAATTTATTGTGTTTTGGTTTTTGTATTGGGGGATTGAACCCAGGGGTGCTTAGCCACTGAACTATATCCCCAGCTTTTTTATTTTTTATTTTGAGACAGGGTCTCATTAAATTGCTTAGTGCCTCGCTGAATTGCTAGGGCTGACTTTGAACTTGAGATCCTCCCCTGCCTCAGTCTCCCAAGCCACTGGGATTACAGGTGTGTGCCTCTGTGCCCGGCCTTTGACAGTTTTTTTGAGAATTTAGACTGCCTCTAGACATTGTCTTATATTTGAAATTCTGTTTATCTTAGGCATCTAAACTTTTTTAGGTATTTCTACCCAATAAATAAGGTAATTTATAAGTAAATCCTAAATAAATGAAAGTATTTAATTGATATCCTGGTTTTAAAACTAAAATTTCCTCTGGTTGTAGGATATTTTGCTCACCTGAAAACATTTAAAGACTCCAGCAATCTGAAGACAGTGAATTTGTGCCATTGTTATATGCAGTGATTCCTATAGGCTGAGAGAGCAAATCTATCCCTCTGATACCTCAAAATATGGAAGCAGCCTGCATTCTCCTCTTGTGAGGTCTGGAATGGGAGTGTTGTAGAGGTCATGGCACAATGCTCCATGCTTTCTTGCTAGGCAGTTGCAGCATTTTACTGCTAATGAAAGTTTGTGGATTGCTTTATTTATTTTATTATGAAAATGTTTATATATATATCAATAAGACGCAGTCGATTTTGTGTATATTCCTATAAGTGTGCATGTATGTGTATTGGTTTGTATGTATGTTTGCATCCATATAGAAATGCATGTGTTTCCTGGGTCAGATGAAAGAGCCTATAACCAAATAAACACACACCTTGTTCCCAGATTTTGGTTTCTTATGGGACTAGAATTTCTCAGAGAAATGGCTAAATCCAGCATTAGGACAGGATAGGTACAAGCTAAATCAGTAAAGCAGTGTTTTTTTATTTGTTTTGTTTTGTTTTTACAAAAGATGGGAGCATATTGAAAGAACATGTGAGCCAGCCTGAAAAAGCTTCAGCTGACAATCTGGGATAATTTGGGCACTAAAATAATTAAGAACAATAACAAATTATAGATCATTGGAAAAACTAAGAATCATGATTCCATATCAATATAAAGAATAACTGGGGAGCTGGGATTGTGGCTCAGTGGTAGAGCATTTGCCTAGTATGTGTGAAGCACTGGGTTCGATTCTCTGCACCACATATGAATAAATGAATAAAGTAAAGACATAATGTCTAAAAAATTTTTTTTAAAAATAATAACTGGGGGAGAAGGAAAGATGTATGTTTACATATGATGCCAAGTGCTAGCAGCTGAATATCATGGCATCCAGCAGTGATACTGTTTCTCTTAAGTTAGTGTTTGGCTCCAGGAATACTTTAACCTTAAGCATAAGGAAACCTCAGACAAAGCCAAAATGAATGTTCTCTTAAAAAGTGAGAGGTAGGTATGTAGTAGAGCACTTACGTAGCAAGTTCTAGGTCCTAGATTCAATTCCAATACTGCAAAAAAGGGAGAGAGACTACATTATTTAGAAATGTCAGTGTCATCGTAGATAAAAGTTGTAGAGACCCAAGTGAGATAACAACCAGATTCTAGACTGGTTCCTGTGTTTGAAGGGAGAGAAAGTAAAAAAAAATGACAAAATTGGAATGGGGGGGGGTAGATTAAAGTATTATTGATAACTGTAGTTATATAAATCTGACAGGCCTTTTCAACCAGGGTCTGCAGAAGTCCCTATATCTGAAGTCATCTATTGTTTGTGATGGGTTGATGTCTCTCCTCTGCTGAAGACACAGTCCTTGAGAGAATGGAAAAAGTGTCCCTGAAATAATTTCTGAGCTGGGCAAGGTGTTACATGCCTAATCTTAGCTACTCGGGAGGCTAAGGCAGAAGGATTACAATTTGAGGCCAGCCTTTGGCATCTTAGCAAGACCCTGTCTCAAAATTAAAAAGAAAAAAAAATCTGTAGGGCCAGATTCTCTCTTGGAACTAGATAAGAGATTGTAAAAGAATATTCTCATTCTTTTTTTGTTATAATTATCAACTTTAATTGTGCAACTTGATGGTTTTCACTGACATTTCTATACGTGCATAAATTGTGCTTTTATCACGATTACCATCCCGCTAAACCATTACCTCTCTTCCATTGCATAGCATTCTTGTCCAAACCTCCAGTCCTTCCTGAAATAAGTCAAAAGTACAAATAAGAATTGTGTGAAATGTTTAAGGTAGATACTCAGAATTAATCAGAGGAGAAAGAAGTTGAAAGTGTATGGCCTGAAAACTGTAATTCAAAATCCCCATTTGATTTCTCTTTTTAGGAGGAGCTCTTGGATATAAAAGAACGCCCCCATTCCAAACAGAGACCTTCATGCCTTTCCGAAAAATATGACAGGTATCACTATCATTATAAGTCATTAAGTTCTACTTGTAAATTTTTTGTTCATTTGTTTTATCACACTTGGTAAATTAAGAATAATCTTAAGGTTTTGGGGCACAATTATAAATGAAGAAAGGACTTCATGAGATAATAACATGAACTTCAGGAAACTGATCATGAAACTAAAACTAGAAAATGATTTGATCAAAGTCACATAGAAAGCAGAAAAAATAGGGCTGGAGTTATAGCTTAGTGGTAGAAAGCTTGCCTCGCATGCACAAGGACCTGGGTTCAACAGCCAGTACTACAACAACAAAATAAACAGGAAAGAGAGATGAGACTTGAACCCAAGAGTCCTCACCAGGATCTTTTCTCCATACTTTATGGTTCTTGCTCTGTGCTTTTAGGGTACTTCTTTAAGGGCCTGCCCCAGGAGTGTTCTAAGCCCTTTACCTGTGTCCCCCCAAACCAATAACCATTTAATCATTCACATTAGCCTTATTGCTTCTTAGCCTCTTTTAGAAAAGATAGACAGCTTTGGTTTGAAGACACTACAACTGAAAATGGTCTGAAAATCTCCTATAATAACCCTCTCTCATACTTCTTATGATCACCTTAGTCATTTCTTAAATAGCAAGGTAAGGGGCTGGATTGTGGCTCAGTGGTGGAGTGTTTGCCTCACACTGGATTTGATCCTCAGCACTACATAAAAATAAAGGTATTTTGTCCATCTATAATCTATAACTAAAATAATTAAAAAATAAATAAAATGTAAAGATCCATCAAGAACTAAAAATATATATTAAAAAATGAAAGTAGATGATTCATATTTGTTCATGTTTTTAACATACAAAGTATCATATTAGGTTTCATTTCTTAGTTGAGTGGGTCACTTAAATTTTGTATGTGGACTCAAGGCTGTTAAACCTAGATGCTTCACCGCATTCTCCTGATGAAGATGATATTGGAATAATGACTATTTTGATTGGCTAGCATTTTTAGCATTTATCTTCAGATATGCCTGTGGTGTTGGTTTCCTTGTTTTTTTGTTTGTTTGTTTTTCATTGTAAAACCTTTTTATGCCTCAGGTTGGAATTGTTGCAACTGTTTCTTCTTGACACAGTTATAAGCAGGGGCTGAGGCTGTGGCGCAGCGGAAGCACACTTGCCCAGCATTTGTGAGAATTGGATTCAGTTCTCAGCACCTCAGAAAAATAAATAAAATAAAGGTCTATCAACAACTAAAAAAACATTTAAAAAAAATAAAGTTATAAGCAGACATACTAACTTTTATTCTGAAGTAGGGACATTGTACCTAGTGATAATACCAAAAATAAGAGATGAAGAGGAAAAGAGCTTCATTCTGTTGTTTCTCTTCTCTTTGAGAATGAAGATTTGTTGGGCTCTTAAACTCCAAGTAATCCTCACAAACAGCAGAAGATAGGTAATATCTCCTTTATTGTAAAAGGTTTCAAACTGAGAGGTTGGCTCACTTTTTCAAATGAGCCACTGGTAGAGCACTTGCCTACCATGTGCAAGATGTGTATTTACTCCCCCAGTACTACAAAAATAAAAAGTTATGTACCTACTACGTAGTAAATACTGAGTCAAGTGCTACCACATACTTCTGCTTCATGGAAGGCAGCCCACGAAAGACATATGTGGAGTATGATGTCACTATATAGTGCAGCCTGTTCTGCTTTATGGTTATCCTTTTTGTGAAGACAGCCCAAAAACATGTCTAGGATGTGGTAGCAAAGCTAGAATTTGATCCCAGATTGTTGGGCTCCAGAGCTTTTGCTCTGCGCAGTCTACTGCCTATCACTTCATTAAAGAGGGAATCAAAGGGCTGGTGTTGTGACTCAGCGGTAGAATGCTCATCTACCATGTGGGAGGCACTGGGTTTGATCCTCAGCACCACATAAAAATAAATAAAATAAAGGTATTGTGTCTAACTACAAAAAAGGGGGGAGGGGATCAACACAAAAACCTAAACTACACATCCTAGGTGCTAAAGAGATGTCCTGCTTGTGGAAAAAGTGAGACTGCATAAAGTTTTGGAAAAAATACATATTAAACATTCCAGGAAGTGCTTCTGTTAAAAGGATTAAGGTTTTTTGTTTTTGTTTTTTCTTTTTATCAGCTGTTAGTACTGATGAGTAATCAAAATGTTTATGAAAATTTTTGTATAGGACAAGTAACCATAATCCATATGTACCCCTAAGATTTGTGCCCTACATGTTTCATTTGTATACAGACCACTGGTTGGTTATTTGTTTAGTACTAGGGATTGAACTTCCACTGAGCTACATCCCTTTCCTATTTATTTATTTATTTATTTATGGTGCCAGGGATTGAATTCAGGGACGCTTAACCACTGAGCCACATCCCTAGCCCTTTTTTGTATTTTATTTAGAGACAAGGTCTCACTGAGTTGCTTAGGGCCTTGCTAAATTGCTGAGGCTGGCCTTGAACTCGCCATCTTTCTGCCACAGCCCCACAAGCTGCTGAGATTACAGGCATCTACCATCATACTGTCTTCCTCTTTATTTTTTATTGAGACAAGGTCTCACTAAGTCACTGAGGGTCTCACTAAATTTTTCCCCCCTTGAGTACCAAGGATCAAACCCAGGGGCAACTTACCACTGAACCACATCCCCAGCCCTCACTAAGTCGCTAGGGTTCATTAATTTGCTGAGGCTGGATTTGAACTTGCTTCCCTTCTACCTCAGCCTCCCGAGCCACTGGGATTACAGTGTGCCACCACACCCAGCTAAATTCCTGAGACTGGCCTCAAACTTGGGATACTCCTTCCTCAGTTTCTGATTGACTGGGATTACAGGCATGTACTACATTACCCAGCACACCATTGGTTTCAAGTTCATGTTGGTATTATTAAATTAATTGCTTGTTTTTGTTCTCATCTTAAGAGGTAACCATTCTGAAGGCAACCATGAAATTTTGTATTGGAAAGGGGTTTCCTTAACTTATTACCTGAAGAGGTTAGAGATTAGACTACCCACGTATATAGTTCATGGCTGCAAATGCTAACTCTCAGTACCTTTTGACCTACAGTGATGGTGTCTGGGACCCTGAGAAGTGGCATGCCTCTCTTTACCCAGCTTCAGGGCGTAACTCACCAGTGGAAAACCTGAAGAAAGAGTTGGATAATGACCGACCCTCCCTGGTGCGTAGGATCATAGGTGAGTGAGTACAGTCTCTTATAAGTAGAGACAGAGGTTTGGGGGAGGCAAGCTCTTAGCTGCTAGTTTCATTGTTAGCTGTGAGTTTTATGTATGGTGGCAGGGAGCTGTTTTCAGGAAACTGATTTACTAGTTGAAATTTTCCTAATTAATAAGGTAATATTATAATCTTCCTATATGGCAATGGCAAGTAGACTATGTTATTAGGATATGTAGAGATGTCTTTCATTGGTGTGCATAATAACAAAGCTGTTCTGTAAATCTGATCATGCTTCATCTCATACAAGATTAGTACTTAGGTGTAAATTGGTTCTGGCAATTATTAATTTATAATGAACTGTGAGCAAAATAGAGTTTGGAAATGGTTTGAGACTAGAATAAAGTTTGATCTTATGTACCTTTTCTCTTTAAACTAGAAAAGATATTATTTAAGGGTGAAATGGGGACTTGGCAATATAAAAATCATTTAAGGAACTCGTAAGAAATTCTTTTGAGATGAGAAGACCCATCATAAAAACTTGGAACTGAGCAAAGAAGATATGGGTGGCTCTAGATTGAGTTGTAAGTTTCTCCTACACAAACTGGGCACAGTAGCACACACCTATAATCGTTGGGACTTGAAAGGATGAGATAGGAGGATCACAAGTTCAAGACCAGCCTGAGCAATTTAGTACAGCCCTAAGCAACTTGGCAAGACCTTATCTCAAAATATAAAAAGAGCCGGGGATGTGGCTCAGTGGTAAAGTGACCCTGGGTTCAATGTCCAGTATCCAAAAAAAAGATTGTTCTATACAGTCTGTAAGTACACTTAGGCTGAAGATACATCTCAGTGGTAGAACATTTGTCTATCATGCATGAGGCCCAGGGATCAATCCCCAGTACCACCCAAAAACAAAACAAAAAATGTATGTGTGTCCACACACATTCTAACAGAATTAGAGACTTTATTAAAATGGTGAAAACTCCCAGACATTGTAGCACATACGTATAATCCCAGCAGCTTGGGAGGCTGAAGCAGGAGGATCTGGAGTTCAAAGCCAGCCCCAGCAACTTAGACCCTATTTCTAAATATTTTTTAAGAGGGCTGGGGGCTGGGGCTATAGCTCAGTGGTAGAGTGCTTGCCTAGCATGTGTGAAGCACTGGGTTCAATCCTCAACACCACATAGATACAATACCTTTATTTATTTTTTTATCTACAATTTTTAAAAAGTGGGGGTGCTAGGGAATGTGGCTTGGCAGTTAAGCACCCCTGGGTTCAATCCCTGCTATCAAGAAAGAAAAAAAAAAAAGTGAAAATTTAGAAGGAACATGAATATCCATTAGTGGAAGTAGATTGAATAGACTTTGGTATACCCATATATAGGATTATTACATTGTTTGTTCTGTCACAATGTGTTATAGGTGTGTTTATTATAAATTATATGCATGTATATTGAGTAATAATCTAGTTATACAAAACTATCTACATTGTATCCTGTTTTTGAAAAAACAGACTAGCACAGATATTCCAGGAAAGTCTATACCAAAACATCCTGGAACTAATTCTGGTGAGATGACTAAAGGAAGTTCTTCTCAATTGGACTAAACTTCAGTTTTCTGGGTTTTCTAGGAAAATATTTTTTACATGACAACGTGTTTGTTTTTCTTAGTTTATTAAAATTTACATACAGTAGCCTGCACATACAGAATGCCATTAGAAAAAGTTCAGACTGTTGTGTAACTTGTGAAACCATTACCACAATAAAGTAAAAATACTAAGCATTTCCATCACCCCCCAAAATTACCAGGTATCTGAGTCCCTCCTTTTAACCTCTCCTCACCCTCCTCAACCAGGCAAGCTGTAAATTGCTTTCTATCACTGTAGACCAGTATATATTTCTTAGAATTGTATATAAATGGAATTGTTACAATGTGTACTCCTCATGTATACCTTCTTTCACTCAATTAAGATTTATCCCTGTAGTTCAATGTGTAGTTTGTTCTTTTTTATTCCATTATATGGATTCATCACATTTTATCCATTTATCAGTTGATAGACATTTGGGTTGTTTAGTTTTTGACTGTTAACCAAAGCTGCTGTGAACATTAATGTATAAGTCTCTGCATGGACATATGCTTTCTTATCTCTTGGCTAAATACCTAGGTGTAAAATGCCTGAGTTGTATGGTAAATGTATATTTAATGTTTTGAAAAACTGCCAAACTCTTTGACAAAGTGTTCTATTTTACATTTCCACCAGCAGAATATGAGGGTTCTGCTTGTTCCACGTTCCTGTCAGCACTTGAAATGTTCACTTTTTAATTTTAGCCATTCTAATAGGTGTGTAGTGATATCACATGGTCTAATTTGCATTTCCCTTTTCATGTGGTGTTTTTTTTTGGTGGTGGTGGTTGTTTTTAGTTTTTGTTTTTTGAGACAGGGTCTCATGAAGTTACTGAGGCTGGTCTCAAACTTGTGATCCTCTTTCCTTAGCCTCCCCAGGTGCTGGGATTATGGGTGTACACCACCATGCCCACTCTTTTTTTTTTTTTTTTAATTTGTCTTTTGTTACTGAGCTTTTAAATACTCTAAATACAGATTCTTTTTTTTTTTTTTTTTTTAGTTGTAAATGGACATAATATCTTTATTTTTATGTGGTGCTGGGGACCGAATCCACAGCCTCACACATACAAGGCAAGCACTCTACCACTGAGCTACAACCCCACCCCCAAATACAGATTTTTCGTAAGAAATATGCCAAAAATATTTTGTCATTGTTTGCTCTGTCTTTGCATTCTCTAATTGGTGTCTTTCAAACAATGGAAATTTTACATTTTAATCAAGCCCCATTTATCTGTATTTTAAAATGGATCATAGTTTCTTTGTCATGGCTGAAAAAGCTTTTCCTAATCCAGTGCCACAAAGATTTTCCTCATGTTAGGCTTTACAGTTATATGTGTGATGCATTTTATTATTTTGTGTGTATGACTGTTCAATACCATCTACTGAAGAAAGACTTTTTAAGCAGTTATTTTTTTTCCAAATACTGACACCTATTAGTTTTTTAGTAGATAAAACATTTGCTTTTACTTAAATTAGTAAGGTCTTATCAGATACTAATCACAGAAAATCGTATAGTGTGAAGTACTTTTACTGCTCCAAAGAGAAAAGGCAGAAGTCTTACTTAAATAATACTGTATGAGTTACTATGAATCTGTTGATAAGCCCCCCATTACTTTTTTTTCAACCCTACCCCTTCTACATCACCTAAAGAAAAAAATCCTTATGGCTTTGGTTACCATTCTCTTTCCCTCATCTTTCCAGATCCTCGAGAGCGTGTGAAAGAAGACGACTTAGATGTTGTTCTCATCCCACAGAGACGAAGCTTTGGTGGGGGCTGTCATGTGACAGCTGCTGTTAGCTCCCGTCGCTCAGGAAGTCCATTGGAGAAAGAGAGTGATGGGCTTCGCCTGCTTGGTGGACGAAGAATTGGCAGTGGGAGGATAATCTCTGCCCGGACCTTTGAGAAGGATCACCGTCTTAGTGATAAGGACCTACGCGACTTGAGAGACAGAGATCGTGAGAGGGACTATAAGGACAAGCGTTTCAGGGTTTGTTTTCTAGACCTTTTGACACCTCACATGTTTGGGGACTTAATATTAGAACCTAGATGAATATAGCCCACTTTTAACTAATAAACAAGGAGGAATAGAGCAGGGTGGGCAGGGGGACATGGTGATGGGCTTCAAGTCCACAGCATAGTTTATTTATTGAAGTAAGCATTATTAGTTAATTTGTTAAGACTTTGATTAAAGTACAAATGTTTTGACTAGAATTTTTTTTTCTTTTTTTAAAATCTTTTTGTTGTTTTCCAGAGGGAGTTTGGGGATAGTAAGCGTGTCTTTGGAGAACGCAGAAGAAATGATTCATACACAGAAGAAGAACCAGAATGGTTCTCAGCTGGACCCACAAGTCAGTCTGAAACAATTGAACTGACTGGCTTTGATGATAAGATACTAGAAGAAGATCACAAAGGTAGAAAAAGAACAAGGCGACGGACGGCCTCTGTGAAGGAAGGTCTGTATAAACTTCGGGAGGGAAGTTCACTTTTAAATAGGATGTGATTATCATTGGCTTAATTGCATACTTAGGAATGGGCACCTGTTGGTACAAAATGTAAAGTTTATTATGTTGCAGTTTGATTTTTAAAATTGCTTCCTAAGCAAAATTTCACAATACTATCTTAACCTTTGCCTACTGTACTAAACAGGTATTGTGTTATCCTGTGTGCATTGTTTTTTTCATGAACACAATTCATGAAGGGTTCCTCAAGGTTGGTAAACATGGTGAAAATAAAGAGGGTTTTCAATTATGTACTAGACACAGTGGTACAGTGGTGTGTTGTTTCTGTATAATAAATCCTAACAACTCTGTGGTATAGGTCTTTTTTTTTGTACTGGGGATTGAAACTAGGGATGCTTTACCACTGAGCTAAGTTGATGAGGGCCTCACTAAGTTGCTGAGGATGGCTTTGCCTTCCAAGTTGCTGGGATTACAAACGTGTGCCACTGTGCCAGGTGGTATAGGTACTTTTACGCCCATTTCACAGAATAGAACATAGAGGCTCAGAGGTCTTAAATGACAGAGACCACTTCCTCACCATGCTGATAGACCATCCCAGATCAGTCATTTGTGATTTACGTTCTCCCAAACTGTTTTATCAGCTGTTTGATAAGCTCCTTGCTAAACTGTAGGAGCCAGAGTTGATGTGTGTGAAGAGTCTGGTGCAACATAGGGGCACACTTATTTTCAGGGCAGTGACCTGGCTGTAAGATGACCATCCTTGTGCTGATGATCTTGGCCTGGGGTTGTACTGAAGCTGCTGCAAAGAAAAAGATATTCCATAACATAATCTATGCTTTTCTGTTTCTTTTTTAAATACCAGGGATTGAAGCCAGGAGTACTTAACGACCAAGCCACATCCCCACCCCTTTTATTTTGAAACAGTCTCACTAGATTGCATATGGCCTCACTAAGTTGCTGAGGCTGGCTTTGAATTTAGGATCCTCCTACCTCAGCCTCCCAAGCCCCTGGGATTACAAGTGTGCGCCACCATGCCTACCTTAACATAATCTTAATGGGTAGACTTGTTTCTTTGTAAGGTGAAGACAATGCTTTGTCATACCTATAAGGGTTGCTTTTAGCTGTAAAGATTAAATTTGCACATCAGAGCTCTGCCTCTCCTGGACACTTATGCAGTACATTTTAATATTAAAGATTTTTTTTGTTGTTGTTTGCTTTTAATAAATGGATGAGCAAAGTACAGACTTTTTATGGCTCCCACATTACCCTTACAGTGGGAAATAAAACTGCAGCAAAATGTCTATTATTTGTCCTGAAGTTGGCAGTCAGGTTCTGGTGGATACAATGGGCCAAGGAGAAGCATACACTGATGAGGCTATTGAGTTTATTTTTGCTAGGGCTCAGTTTCTTTTTCCCCACCTCTCTCCCCTTACATTACTAGGAATTCAATCCAGGGTCTATGCATACTAGGCAAACACTCTACCAATGAGTTGTATCCTCAGCTCCTTTATCTTATTTTTAGACAGGTTCTTGCTGTGTTGCCAGGCTAGCCTCAAACTTGAGATCCTCCTGCCTCAGCCTCCCAAGTAGCTGGAATTACCGATGTGTACCACCATACCCAGCTTAAGGCTCAGTTTGTCTGTAAAGTGGAAACAATTCCTCCACCACAGCACTTGTTTTAGTTTAACTGTCAGTCTTTAAAAACCCACTGGAGAAACTGCCTATTGCTTTGTCCATGGCTTATAAAGGTGCCTCTCTCGTTACCTGAGGACCCCTGAAGGATTAGGATTCTTAGCAGGCATCCCCATAGAGGAGACATGTAGCCTTATACACACAGTTTTATGTGGAAGAGTTTGGGTAGCTATCCTAGGCTTGCTAGTACTGAGCAAGGCACTTATCTTTTGTGCTATTGTATTTCCCTGCTTTGCTATCTAGCTTCTTGGAGCATTGTTGGAATTAAAACAGAAGTTAGCATTTAATTTGTGTTCTAGAATATCCAAGCTGATTAAAATAACAAGACTACAGTATTTCTTGGGGAATTTTGAGAAGGGATAGGTCCAGGTTGTGTTTTGTTCTTTTTGTTTAATTTTTTTCCCTCGCTCTTAGAAAGATTCCTGTCTACCAGGATCTTGAAACTATAGACAACTTTTTTAAGTGTCTTTGCAGGGGGTGAGTTGTAGGGAGTTCAGTTCTTAAAAGTGTTTAATGCTTGGTGTCTCTCATTGTACTTGTTCAGAGTTTGGCTTTGTTTTTTAGAGCCCTTCCAAATGACAGATTTTTGTTTGTTTGTTTTTGTTTGGTTGGTTGTTTTGTTTTGCTTTGCTTTTTGCCTATACTTTGGCAAAAATTAAGATGTGAAATTAATTAGATGTTTAGTACCTGGTAGCTTTATTTACCCATGTATTGCCATCTTAAAAATATAACTGAACAGTTCTGAGGTTACTCTATAATCTGGCACTGTAGAGTAAGACAAAGCTGATTCGAGCAGATTACCTAGTCTTAGATCTCAGTTTCATCACAGAGTTGCTATAACATAGTGTAGTAAGCCAGTCACAGTGGCACACACCTGTAATCCCAGCAGCTTGGGAGGCTGAGGCAGAAGGATCGTGAATTAAAAGCCAGCCTCAGCAACTTAGTAAGACCCTAAGCAACTCGGTGAGACCCTGTCTCTAAATAAAGTACAAAAAAGGGCTGGGAATGTGGCTCAGTGGGTAAGGGCCCCTGAGTTCAATCCCTGGTATCAAATACACACACACACACACACACACGGTGTGATAAGTGCTCTGAGAGAGAATGCAAGGATTACAGATAAGGCAATAATTAATTTACTGCACAGAGTGCAAAAAAAGATAGAGCAGACTTCCCAGAGGAGGTAACATTTAAACTTTGCCTTGAAGGACAAGCTGTCACCAATCGTAGGCAAAAGATGTACCCTAGCTGGACACAGTGACAGTTTCTATAATCTCAGAAACTGAGGCTGAGGCAGGAGGATGGCAATTTTGTGGGCAGCCTCAGCAACTTGGCAAATCCCTAAGCAACTTAGCAAGACACTGTCTCAAAACAATAAAAAGGGCTGGGGATGTAGATCAGTAGTAAAGCACCCCGGGTTCAATACACAGTACCAAAAAAAAAATTGCTCTTCTTTAGGTTTTACATAAATACCTTAGGTTGTTGAACCCTGACTTTAGTGGTGGTATGGATGCATGGGCAGAGCCAAAATAATTTGGTTCCACTTATTAATCAGTAAAAGACTCGTAAAGAATCTTTAAAGAAAAAAAAAGCAGTATAGAAAAAGAATCCACTACAGTGTTAGAAAATTGAAGTACTTAAGAGGGGGACCATAATCTTTCCCCTATCATGTTGGAATTCTGGCATTTTTCCTCTTCCAACTCCCAGAGGAGTTGAAAGTACAGTTCTTGTGCAAGAAATCTGCTTTTAAAGTTACTTGCAGCTCAACAGGCATGGTGCAAACACCTGTAATTCCAGTGACTCAGGAGGCTGAGGCAGGAGGATCACAAATTTGAGGCCAGCTTCAGCAGTTTAGCAAGGCCTTGGTGAGACCCTGTCTCAAAACTTAAAAAAAAAAAAATTTTAAAAAGCTGAGGATGGACATGCCTCTGTGGTAAAGCACTTCTGGGTTCAATCTTTAGCACCAAAACAAAAACAAAAGCTACTTGTGGCTCTTCTATATGTGTGATGATGGCCAAGACCACAAAGTAAGACTGGAGTGGTTCTCTTCATCAGACTGTTTTGTCCTGGTTTTGCTTTCAGGCATAGTTGAGTGCAATGGAGGAGTAACCGAGGAGGATGAGGTGGAAGTTATCCTCACCCAGGAGCCTACTGCTGATCAGGAAGTGCCAAGGGATGCCGTCTTGCCTGAGCAGTCCCCAGGAGAATTTGACTTTAATGAATTCTTTAACCTTGATAAGGTGCCATGCTTGGCTTCGGTGAGTGTAGCAGTGCACTTGTAAATATGAATGGAGCAACAAATGGTATTTAAGATTTGTTTGTTTATTTGTTTGTTTTTGAAATGAGGTCTTGCTGCACTGCCCAAGCAAGCCTCAAACTCCTGAACTCAGGTGATTCTCCTGTTAAAATGTTGTTTTGCTAGATGCTATTGAGGTTTTTGGCTTTTAGTCTCAAATATTTCAATTTTTATTAGGGTTTTTTGTTTTGTTTTGTTTTTAAAGGCTTAATGGAAATGATTAAAAGATGATTGTGTACCAGTTAACTTTTTCTAGGTTGTTAGCATTTTAGTAAAAACACTTCAAATGTTTAAGAATATTGCTTCCTTTAACTTTGGGGGTAAGGTGGGATGTTTTTGTTTTGAGCCAGGGTCTGTCTCACTGTGCTGTCCAGGCTGGCCCTAAACTACAGGGTTCAAGTAATCTTCTTCCTGTTTTAGCCTCCCAAGCAACTGGGAATACAGGCACCATGTCTAATTATCTTCTTTCTTTTCTTTTTCTTTCCCAGGGATTGAACCCAGGGGCACTTTTACCACTGAGCCACATCCTCAGCCCTTTTTTATATTTTATTTACAAACAGGGTCTCACTGAGTTACTTAGGGTCTCACTAAGTTTCTGAGGCTAGCTTTGAACTCTTAATTCTTGCACCTGAGTCTCCTGAGTGGCTAGGATTTCAGGCATGTCCCACCACATAAAGCCAAATTCTTTTATTTCTAATTATTTGTCTTTAAGACTTATTGTGAAGTGCCTTTTTTTAAATTACTGGTGATTTGTGTACACCAACCTGCATTCCTTGGGGGAGTCTATCTGCTTAGATGGTACCATTTGTGATATGATAATGCTAAAAATCTTTAGTAAAAAGAACCTGGGATACTGTATGCATTGCCATTAAACTCTTTTGAGTATAGTGTTTCTGGACTACTAAAGTAGAAACTATAAGCCATCCCTAATCTTTGCTTGCGACTTACCCTTGTTCTTATCCCTTCAACATTTATGAATTACTATAACCCCACTGAAGTTTTGGAGAAGGGTTATAACTATAGACTGTGTGCACAGAAATGGTTTTTTCTGTGGGATTTTTGTTGTTGTTTTTGGTACCAGGGATTAAACCCTGGTGCTCAACCACCGAGCCACATCCCCAACCCTTATATTTTATTTAGAGGCAAGGTCTTGTTAAGTTGCTTAGGGCCTCACTAAATTGCTGAGGCTGGCTTAAACTCACGATCCTCCTGCCTTAGCCTTGAAAGCCACTTGGATTACAGGCGTGTGCCACCATGCATGGCTTTTTGTGACTCTTTTAAAAAGAGTGTGTAGAACCATGATACAGTAAAAAATTTTTAAAATTCTGTTTTTTCTTCATGTCTTATTTATAACACTAAATACATGAGTTGACTATTCCTGTAGAACTGGTCATTCACAGAATTTAACTTAAAATAATTCTACTCTTTAACTGTTGCTGCTCCTTATTTGATGACTGCATGCACAGAAAAAAATTGGGCACAACAGAGCAGACAAAATTGACCTGTCTTCTTTGTCGTTTTCTTGTTCCCCTACACTCAAAAGATGGCCACCCAGAATAAGTGAGCTGGCACTGCACAGCACTGATTAGATACAGGGCCTCAGGTGAGTTCTAGGACAATACTTACTAAATTCTCTGTGGTAAAGGGCCAGGTTTTATTTCTGGAATTAGTATGAAGTATGTCACAGGGCTGGGGTTGTAGCTCAGTGGTAGAGTGCTTGCCTGGCATGTTTTTTAAAGTACATGTCTCAGCAAATATCAAATTCTTGTAAGAGTTTCTAAGCATTTACTTTTACTTTCTGAACATATGTTAATGTAAACCAGTATGAGCCAAGAATACATTTGTCTGTAGCATTGTTCAGGAATATGTGGAATGTGTATCCAAATCAAACATGGCAAGTGTTTGCTCAGTTTTGTTCCTGAAGTTCTAGCAGCAATTTTAATTGTAAGTTTTCTACCCAGATACATCATAAAGTCTCCTAACCAATAATCCTTTGGTTCACTCCAAACACAAAGATCTTATCCAGATGTGAGATTTGTTTGTTTTTAAAAAATTTTTTTTAGTTGTTGGATCTTTTTTATGTTATTCATTTATTTATATGTGGTGCTGAGAATTGAACCCAGTACCTCACACATATGAGGCAAGCGCTATACCACTGAGCCACAACCCCAGCCCCGAGCTTAATTTATTTGATGTAAAATGGAGTGGTCCTCTTTAATTCTTTAACTTCTGAGGGTACCGTGGTTTTGGTTTTTTTTTTTACATCAACTGTTTAGTGACTTTTTTTTTTTTTTTTTGCATTCTCTTAGAAGACAGATGGAAATCATATTATCAAATGTTTTCACAGCAGATCAAATTTTAGAGACCTGTACTTGACTCCAAATGTGAGCACCTGCAAAATTCATGTGTGTGCCTAGGCAGAGGAAGAATTCACTCTTTGACTTAAAATGCTAAACTTAAACTTTTAATAACAACAGGTAACATGCATGCAGTGCTGATTGCTTAAGGCTTTACATATAGTAAGTCATTTAATCTTCATAGATCTCTTGTAAATTAGTTAGTTGTTTCCATTTTACAGGTGAGGAAGTAAAAGTTTAAATAATTTGCACAAGGTAACCCAGCTATAAGTGCTGGAAACTGAACCCTAACTTAAACAGTTTTATTTAAGAATTTCTGCTCTTAACTCACCACAACTATACTCTCTCTGAAACATAAGAGGGAGGAATAGGGATTTGGCATCATCTTAACTTTTTGTTCTCATCCCCAGACAAAACCTTGGCTAATGGTGAGCAAATTGGTACTAGGCCAGAGTATCTGTCTTCAAATTTTTCATGGAGTCAATACTCATTAACCCACTTTGTCCCATCGTCCAGATATGGAACACATGTAAAACCTTAAATATGGTACATATTATATAATATGTAACATAAGTAATGGTAATACAATAGTATTATGTTATATATATAATTTGTACATTATGATTTCCAACCTATTTTAATGAACTGTGTCAGTGTTTTTGAAGTATTTGCAGAATTGAATACTTGGGACTTAATGGTTTCAGGTATATATTTTATAAAAGATTTACTTTAAAGCCAAACTGGGATTAATAAAAATAGATGCTCTGATTGTGCCACATAACCAGCTGAACCCTAGTATACAATGCTGAGAAAATGACTAATTGGGAAAAGTATGAAAGAGTGTAAAGGATTTGAATGTCAATTGGCAAATGTATAAAGTGCTTAAAACAGTAAGCAACACACAGTAAGCTCCTCAGATATTGGATGTTAATAAATAGAAACAGAAATCAATGACAGAACTGAGAATACAGTTTTTATACCATGACTGTATAATAAGCCACAAGAAAAATCTTAAATAATGCATTAGTTCAGAAGTATTTATCAAGCAACTGTAGTACCTGGATACTGTTCAAGGAACTGAGGTTACATGAGAACACGAAGATCCTGTCCTTATAGAACTTTTTAGCAGAGGAAACAGGTGAGAAATCAGAATATACACACACATATATTTACATGTGTATATATTTGTATGCTATGTTCACTGGCATTGCAGTACCTTAGAAATTGACAAGTTGGCAGCCACAGAAATCTACACAAACTGAAAATGTGGATCACATATGCAAATAATTTGTTAAATATGTAACTGAAAGGTTTAAATAGATGCAATACTTCCTGGTAGTGCACACCTGTAATCCCAAGTGACTTGTAAAGCTAAGATGGGAGGATCACAAGTCTGAGGCCAGCCTCATAATTTATTGAGGCCCTAAGCAATTTAACAATACTGTCTCAAAATAAATAAAAAGGGCTGGGGATGTGGCTAAGTGGATAAACACCCCTGGGTTCATTTGTACAAAAAAATAAAATAGATGCAACTCTTAACTAATACTGTCTGACACCTAACAGGGTTTAAATATGTTGAGTAAAGAAAAAGATGACATAGAAAGATCTCATTGATGTAATCAAAAGATGCTCAAAACAAAATGTGAAGAAATCAATAAACTAGAGTAAAACACAAAAATGTAATTTCCTTAAAGTGGAAAGCAGAAAAGGAAACCAAACATCAGTCAGTAAAACTGAGTGATTATCAAAGAACAAAAATATTTCATGATGTATTTGCTTATCAGAATATGAATTCAGGGATATGACTTGTCTAAATGACCTTTGTTTGAAGGACCAAACTAATAGTCACAACAGTCATGTAAAAATGCTATTGAAGCTGGGCATGGTGGCGCATGCCTATAATCCCAGCAGCTGGGGAGGTTGAGGAAGGAGGATCACAAGTTCAAAGCCAGCCTCAGCAACTTAGCAAGGCTCTAAGCAACTTAGCAAGAGCCTGTCTCTACAATAAAATGCAAAAAAGAGCTAGGGATGTGGCTCAGTAGTTAAGTGCCCATGGGTTCAATCCCAGTACCCCCCAAAAAAAAAAAAAATGATACAGAGAATTTACTAACAAGTGAAACAACCAGAATACAGAGTTCTCAGACTCCTTGATCCACTGGTGGCTGATAAGGACATAGCAGAGGATGCCCTGACCTAAGAGTTGGAGCTGTTTCCATTACTCCATTTCATTTGCCAACATATAGGAGAGAGTTTCTATCATTAGAGTGTCCCAGCTTGCTCTATTATGAAAATTACTAAATAGATTAAACTCTTGGTTTAAATTGCTTTAGTTTCTTAGTGTTTCTGCAAAATTTTTCTAAAAGAAAGTTTGTGCTCTTGAACTATGCTTTAAAATTTGCTTATCCACTGAAGCAAAGTTAGTGACTGATCAAAATATAGAAATGACTTTCTCTATTTCTTCAATCTTTAGAAAATGTCCAGATACTTCTTGTCCTTTTCTTTTTCGTGTTCTTTTGGTATACCTTGTGGCTTTTTTCCCGTGTGACATAATCAGAGGAAATAAAGAAAATGCAAAGCTACCATTTTTTGCTATTTGTAAAATTTCAAAATTTCTTCAACACAAAAAACCATAATCATAGCTTTTAATTACTACTTTTACAGTTCTGTTATTTTGATTACAGTCCTTAATTTTTCCACTGTGAAATGTCATAATGTTTATCCTACACTTTAATTAATGCAAAATTAGTGCACTCAAAAGTCATATGTAAGGCATGAGAGTCTACAAGTGGAATGTGATTGAAACTGTTTGAATAATTTCTCTGAAATAGAAGTTCCAGAAACAATCAAATTAGGGTTTTCAATTAAAATCCCTTCAAGAGAAGAATTTTATGATTTAGTTTGGATATAGATTATGAAAACATTCTTCTAGATAAGAACAAAAACTTAAATCTAACCATCCCCTACTGAATATTGGTTGGAAAATAGTGGGTTTCAGGCTTCAAATAAAATAAAATCAATCAATTCTGTCATGCATAAAAACCAGTTTGGGCTGCGCATGGTGGTGCACTCCTATAATCCCAGCAGTTCAGGAGGCTGAGGCAGAAGGATCTCCGGTTCAAAGCCAGCCTCAGCAATGGTGAAGTGCTAAGCAACTCAATAAGAGACCCTGTATCTAAATAAAATACAAAATAGGGCTGGGGATGTGGCTCAGTGGTGGTGTGTTCCTGAGTTCAATCCCCAGTACCCAATAATAAATAAAGACCAATTTGGATATTTAACTGAATTTATAATAGGGTAGAATTAAAAATTTGAATTTTAAAAATAGCTTAAATCTAGCTTTTCAAAGATTGGTGATAGAGGGGCTGAGGTAGTTCAGTGGCAGAGCGCTTGCCTAGAATGTGTGAGGCCCTGGGTTGGATCCTTAGCACCACATAAAAATAAATAGAAGCATTCTGTTTATCTACAACTACCAAAAAAAAAAAAAAATGGTGCTAGAAATGACTTAGGAAATATGGTGGAAAAAAAATTTCTGATCATAGTGCATCACTTAATTGTCCCTATTAAACCAAGTCTATAGAGATTGATTTGAAAGAAAACAAATACCTATAAATTTCCCATTAAGCTCAAACAGAAATTAGATATCAGTTAAAATACCATCTTTAAGCTCTGCTTTTACACCTTCATTCCTGAATTTGTTAGGATTGAATTTTATGGTATTCCTTAAAACTTAAAGACCACCAAGATTGAACCAAGGATTTTCAATTCTCCATGGAGACTTGGTGTTTAGTTAAAGTTACTTATTATCCTGGCAGTGGAATACTTCATTCTGGTACTGATTTTTATTTTTCAACTAAGTCCTCTGAGAACATTTGATAGGACTTAGATTTTCTAATAAGGTAAAGGATAGAAAATCATAACACTGTGTGTGGCCTAGAGACTTCATTATATATGCTTAGAAAGTGCATAGTTGGTTATCCCCAAATTTGAGTTACTCAAAAATGACCAAGAAAGGGGAAGAAAATTGAAGATTCAAAATCCTAAGTTTAAGGGGTAGGAAGCATCAAAGGAAATTCAAAGAAAGTGATCCTTTCTTAAAATTTGAACTTTCTTGTCTTTTTTTTTTGGTCTAGAAACTATTAGCATCTTTTGTCTTTTTCTTCAGATGATAGAAGATGTTTTGGGAGAAGGGTCAGTCTCTGCCAGTCGGTTCAGTAGGTGGTTCTCTAACCCCAGCCGATCAGGAAGTCGATCCAGCAGCCTTGGGTCAACACCACATGAAGAGCTGGAGAGACTTGCTGGTAAAATAGCTTCAAATTCTGGCTTTATATATAAACTTTAGCTTTCTCTGACATGGTTCATTCTGTCTTCATTAGTTAGGGGTTCTTTAGGGTTAGAGGGTCTCTGCATGAAAAGCCTTTAATTTGTGTCCCTTTAATACTATTCTTGATGTTTCCATCCTACTAGAACCAGTTATGTATACGTTTGTTTGCAATATCAGGTCTGGAGCAAGCCATCCTCTCTCCTGGACAGAACTCGGGGAATTATTTTGCTCCTATACCATTGGAAGACCATACTGAAAATAAAGTGGATATTTTAGAAATGCTACAGAAAGCCAAAGTGGATTTAAAACCTCTTCTTTCCAGCCTTTCTGCAAATAAAGAAAAACTTAAAGAAAGCTGTAAGTGTTTGAGAATCTGCTTTAGATATCTGAAAAAGTTTGGATTGTCTTAAGGCAATTGGTTTTAACATACTGGTATTTCATCAAGTCAAATATATGGTGATTTTTTTTCTTAATGATGTTCAAAAGGATTTATTTTATCATTTTTGAGAATCTGATAGTGGTTCTTGGCCCTATAAGAACTTTTCATCCAAGTTGTTCTTACATAGGACCCAGTTGTAACACCTCAGTAAATATTTTTAATCCTCCCAAGGCAGTTCCTCACAACTCTGCCTCAATTTGCCATGTTCATACTTATGCTAAAAGCCCTTGGCATAACAATTTGGTACTGTAATAACTACAGTGCAGGTAGCGATTTTGCTGATGTTAGGCTATCTGGATTCCTATCCCTGGTAACAAGTCCCCAAAAGATTAATATTATTCTGCAGGACACAGAGCAGTATTGTGTCACGTTTTAAAACTTAGTACCTCATGGTTATGGTCCCCCAGTTTATAGCATCTAAACATTTTAGGTTTAGTTTATATGCCATCTTTTACTGAATACACGGTTATAACTTTATTTCCTCCTACTAAACAACTATGAGTTTTAAGTGTTTTCAGTTTGTCTATTTTCAGTGTCAGCCTTTTCTGACAGCTTCACTTCAGTTATGAAATAAATTATCTTCACTTTAACCATCATGATAGCTAAAGAGAATTTCTCCCAAATATCCCTTCTTGGTTTAACCTGGACTTTCTTATTTCTTAACTTTCAGCACATTCAGGAGTTGTGCTTTCAGTGGAAGAGGTAGAAGCAGGGCTCAAGGGTTTGAAGGTGGACCAACAAGTAAAGAATTCAACTCCCTTCATGGCAGAACACTTAGAGGAAACCCTGAATGCTGTAACCAGCAATCGACAACTCAAGAAAGACGGAGATATGACTGCGTTCAACAAACTAGTGAGCACTATGAAGGCAAGTGGGACTTTGCCTTCTCAGCCCAAAGTCAGTGTAAGTATTTGGAGCAAATCTCACCAAGCTTTTTCTCCTTTTCCATCTTTGTTTTATTTCCCATAACAATAAATGGAATTTTAAAAAGGTATTCCGAGTAAGTTGGAAATTCTTTAGTAGTTGTTTGGTCCTTGATGCTTTTGTGTATTAATTATCAATATGTTATTTGTTACTACAAAAGCAGAATTGTGGCTTGTATGTATGTATTGTGGGTGATAGTAAAAAGAGTGAAAGATCAATTCTTATACAATACCTACATAACTGTATTAAAGCCACAGCTAAAATATATTTGTATAAAAACTATCTTTTTGCATAAACTCCAGAGATGGTTTTCTGGTTATTTGGCTACTTAAGTTCACATAACTTGCCATATTTTTGTAATATAATTTTTTTACAGTAATTATTCTCAGATACCTAGGATTACCTGCTTTCTGGATAAGGAGTTGGCAATCATACAAATTATTAAAGTATTAAGATGGATTTTTTTAAGACAGTTTTACATTCTGTTAATTTACTAATATGGCAAAGGATATGATTCCAGATTTCTTTTTAACTTTTAGGCATTAGGTTAGTTACAAGGTGGATGCATTTTGGTAAATACCATACACTGGTCTTTGTCACAAAAATGTTTTGAGAGTGGTTCTCTGTCATGGTCTGTGTGTTAATATCACTATCTCTTGGTGTGATACAAAGGAGAATCTAGGTAGAACCAAATAATAAAAACATAGATTTATTCTAATTGCTAAGTTAGCAAATTTTTCAAAATTGAATTTTGCCTCTTTCTCTCCTGACCCTGTCTGAGAACTACAAGTAGTGGTATGAACAGCAATTTGAAGACAGAGTTCTTCAGACTTGCCTTCATAGTGCACCCTAGTTTGTTCACTAAGTCTTGTACCAAGGGAGGACAACTGATTTTTAGATTTCCTTATCTAACCAACAGTCAGTGATAGAGGCTTCAGCCTGCTCAAACAGGTGCCATTATTCTTGACCTTAATAGACTTCTTTATATCAGACTATACCATATTTTATATATATATATATATATATATATATATATATATATATATATATTATACATACTATACCCAATTACAGGGGAATAATTTCACAAACTGCTCCAGTTGTTTTCATACAAATAAATCATGGATCCAAATGCTTTTATATAAGGACCTGATTAAAAACTATCCTCTACATTTGTGTCTTAGTGATTGGGTGCTGACTGCAGTTCTGTTGGTCAGATCTTGCAATTAGCTTTTTTTCTTTTAGTGTGACTAAGGGAATGGAGGCAGAGGAAGTCAGCAGTTTGTTTTAATACTATGATTCCAGAATACTGACACAGCTGACCCTGAGCTGTGAGGGCACTTGGTTTAATGTTGGAGTTTCAGTGCTCTAAAGTGTATCTGGTTTCAACTGGAGGAATCAACCTAAAATACTTGTCAAAGGGATGGATGATATAATTCAAGTGGCTAGGCAGAAGGTAATACAAATTCAGCCTAACCTCAGAAAAAAAGCAAGGAAAGTCATGAAATAAGCATGCCAGGTGTTATCTTTCATTATACACACACACGTACGTATATACACATGCCTATATATGTGTGTATATATATACACACACATATATATATTGTTTTAGATGTATACAATATCTTTGTTTATTTTTATGTGGTGCTTAGTATCGAACCCTGTGCCTCACATGTACAAGGCAAGCTGAGCCACAACCTCAGCCCCTGGATATTTTTATTTATTTATTTATTTAGCAGCTGAGAATCAAACCCAGTGCCTCACACATGCTAAGTAAGCACTCTGCCACTGAGCTACAACCCCAGCCCTCAGCTGTTATCTTTATTGCTTGATTCACACATGTTGTAAGGTCCTGTCTGCTTCTAAAATGAAACTTCTTACAACTTCTATTTGTTATGTGTACTATTTTTCATCTGCCTTCAACCAGGTTGAAGGTTCAGTCATATTGTTCACCCCCAAAGTAAGATATGTTGATTCAATCTAAACTCTATTTTAAATAGAATTGTAGGCTCTATTCTGTAAATATAGTAAGCCATGCAGTATAAGGTTGCCTCTTTGTTTTAGCTAGATGTAATTAAATAACTGTTGAGAATATTACTTATTATAATCATGTGCTTTTAGTCCCAGTTCCAAAACCAACAATAAAACACTTGGGTAACTTTAGGCTATTTGTTGTACCCAGGATAATACTGTGGGTTTTGACAGATCCAGCTAGTGGAAAGAAAAGTATTCAGAGAAAGTACTTCAGGTTGAATGGACACTGGGATGTACTGAAGTGGAGGATTTGACTTGCCCTGTACGTGTGACCCATTTTGAACAGCTTATTTAGAAGTAATAAAATTCAAGGCTGGGGACATGGCTCAGTGGTATAGTGCTCACCTAGCTGCATGAGGCTCTGGGTTTGATCCCCAGCACCACAAAAACATTAATGTTGCAACTTCCTGAAATATAAAATCTTGAAATATAATAGTTTCAACCAAATTTGCATGTTATGTACTATAATTTAAATACCATCTGTGGTCAATAAATCTTATTAAAGCTAATGGGTAGCAAGGATTGCCTCAAATTTAAATATGAATTATCAAAATTTCTTATGCTCCTTACTAAGAGGTAAATGATGGCAATCTTCAATGCCTCCATTTTATTTTCCCCTCTTTTGATTGGAAATGGTGAAATGGACCAGAATTAGCATCAAAAGGATCTCAGAGTGGATTCTGTATGTGCATGTAAATAGTCTTTGCATTCCTAGATCTTTGGGGCATGTATGATGAGAGAGAATAAGTTGGTCTGAATTTTTTGTGAGTTAAACGTCTTTCTCCTGTTGTGTCACCTCCCTTGGGAGTGTCTAATATTTTCTTATGGTCCCCAATCTCTACTGTGTTAAGACACTTAAGCCAGCACACCTGTAATTCCAGCTACTCGGAGGACTGAGGCAGGAGGATCACAAGTATGAACTAGCCTGGGCAACTTAGCAAGACTCTGTTGCCAAAAAATAAATAAATTAGGGCTGAGGTTGTAACTCAGTGGTAGAGTACTCGCCTAGCATGTGTGCGGCACTGGGTTTGATCCTCAGCACCTTATAAAAAAGTTAATAAATAAGCAAAAGATAATTGTAGCCATCTACAACTTAAAAAAAGACAGGAATGGGAATGTAGCTCAGTTGAGCACTTGCCTAGCTTACATGAAACTGAATTTGGTCCTCAGTACCACAAAAAAAAAAAAAAAAGTTCAAACCAGTGTTTCTTTGACATTTTTAGCGAAACCTTGAAAGCCATTTGATGTCCCCTGCTGAAATTCCAGGCCAGCCTGTTCCTAAGAACATCCTGCAGGTATGTTACAATCTTATACTGAGGCCTCAGAGTCTGAACAATAGTACTCATTTTGAGTAGTGGTCACCCATCTTTGGGCCTTAGAGATGTTGTCTGGCAATCAAGAATGTAATATAGTTTGGTAGTTCTGTGTTGCTGCTGAACTCAAAATGGGTTAAGGAGAGGAGGGAGACTTTAAAAGAAAAAAATAAGCTCTTGTTTTCTGGTTTGCAAGTTTGTAATTTCTGTGGAGAAGAGTACCTAACCTGTAGTTGTAACTTAAATGTTGCTAGCTGAGCATTCAGAGGAATGTATTGCATGTACACATGCCAAGACATTCCATGGAACATGAAGGAGATTCATCATCTAGCTTCCAGAAATTAATCTGTAATCCACAGCTTTTCACTAGAAGAAAGAACTAGGTTTGTTAACAGGGATTTGTTTTTGGTGTTTGCTTCTCTTGTCTTAGGAACTTCTGGGTCAACCAGTTCAGAGACCTGCTTCTTCCAATCTTCTGAGTGGCCTTATGGGGAGCTTAGAGCCTTCTGCATCTTTATTGGGCCAAAGAGCACCCTCTCCTCCCATGTCACAAGTGTTCCAAACTCGAGCAGCCTCAGCAGACTACCTTCGCCCAAGAATACCATCACCAATTGGTAAGTAGTCTCCCCCGCCCCCACCCCTGTATGGGGGATTGAACCCAGGGGTGCTTTGCCACCAAACTACATCTCTAGCTATAGAATTCTTTATTTTGAAATATGGTCTCGCTAAATTGCCCAGGCTGACCTCAAACTTGTGATCCTTCTTCCTTACCCTCCTGAGTCATCGGGAGGACAGGCATGTGCCACTGTGCCCAATGTGACAGTCTTTTTCAGGGATATTCTTTTTCTTTTTTCTTTTTTAATTGTTGTAGACAGATACAATATCTTTATTTTATTTATTTATCTTTGTGTGGTGCTGAGGATGGAACTCAGTGCCTCATAAATGCTAGGCAAGCTCTCTACCACTGAGCTACAACTACAGCCCATTCGTGGACATTCTTAATGAGTTTTCAAAAATTGCGTAGCCAGACACGGTGGTGCATGCCTGTAATCCCAGCAGCTTGGGAGGCTGTGACAGGAGGATTGAGAGTTCAAAGTCAGCCTCAGCAAAAAGGCGCTAGGCAACTCAGTGAGACCCTGTCTCTAAATAAAATACACAATAGGAGTAGGGATGTTGCTCAGTGGTTGAGTGCCCCAAGTTTAATCCTCAGTACCAAATATACACACACACGTAAATATATTACAATTTTTGGAGGAAGGTGTGAGGTTAAAAAAGTAGAAGACAGTTTGTTATCCAACTGCCTTTCTAGATGACTATAGTTCTGGGTTTTTTTTGTTGTTGTTGTTGTTTTTGTTATTGTTTTTTTCTTCTCAAAATTATTAGGTATCTCAATCCAAAAAAGTAATTTTGACTTTAGATTTGTCCTTAATAAAGAAGTCAGAATAGTGGCTCTCTACCAAATTATTGAAGTTGATTGATTTAATTCAACTGTGAAGTCTTGTGGCTAATTCAGAATAAAGAAGCACTTCCAGAAAGCAGTTCTAGCAAAGTATGCTAGTGTTCCTATAATTCTGGAAACAGTGTTGGCTGCTGGCCAATCATACCTTGACAGACAAGTTTTGTAAACATTTATCTACGGTCAGGAAGATAGAACTCTATGGAAAGATTGTGACCCTAAGAGCACTGGATGCTACTTTGGTACCATTTGGCCTAGTGAGCATTGCCAAATTGCTGGTTATGCTGGCTGAGTTTTCTGCCTTTGAGATATTGGCTCTGAAAGGAACAACAGTGACTGATTAATGAGAAAGATGGATATACCAGCAGTTTGGGCAATGAAGAGCTCTGGTTTGAGTTTTACATAGCCTACTGTGGTAGGATAGAGTAAGAGGCTGTCAGCCTAGAAAAGTCAGTACTTCTCAAAAATGATGCTACTCAGCAAGGAGCAGCATGCATTAGGGATAATACAGCCATGATGTGTGAACATTTGCTTGACACTCATTGATTCTATAACTTTCTCATCAGGTTTCACACCAGGACCACAGCAGCTACTTGGAGATCCATTCCAAGGCATGCGCAAGCCCATGAGCCCTGTCACAGCCCAGGTCAGACTGGGCTATTTCTCAAACCCAATCTGTTGCTTTCTTTTTCGACCCTATTAATTATGGGGTGGAGAATTGAATTGCTACAATTTTCTGAAGTGATTTGGCAGCAATGGAACTTTATTGTATGTTTCATAGTGATGCTATATATTTCAAGTTCTGTGAAGGCTAGAAAATTACTGAGTAATTAAACTAATACTTATGTTTGGCAGCATAATTTAGTCACGTTTTGTCATCTGCTACTTAAAAGTACCTTTTTAAGAGGAAAGAGACCCCTGTAGAAAGTACATTGACTATCTTTTTTTTTTTTTTTATTTTGCTGACCCTCCCCTGCCATTTCTGTTCAGCAGATGAGCCAACTCGAATTGCAACAGGCAGCTTTGGAGGGGCTGGCCCTACCACATGACCTTGCAGTGCAAGCAGCAAATTTCTATCAGCCTGGTTTTGGCAAACCACAGGTGGACAGAACCAGAGATGGATTCAGAAACAGGTAAATTACTAATCCAACCTGTGAGGATTTGGGTAATAATTTGTGAATATAGTTTTCCTGATATTAGTAAGTTAGTTATTCACAGTACAGTTCTGTTGCACATGCTGATATGTTATAAACAAATAGAAGGAATTCCATCCCGCTGCAGATATAGGGAATATGATTGCATTCTGCTGAAGGGATATCTGGTTTTTATCCTGCATGGCTTTTATAAATTAGTTTTTATGGTTTCATTTTGCTAATTAGTTATATAGAAGAGATAACTGCCTGCCTGATTTACCTTACAATTTTGTTAAGAGTAAATACATTTAAAATCTCAAGGATGTTTCTGCCAGTTAAAGGATTCATTTTTATAGGTGTGAATAGCATAGCTTCTTATTTGTTTTGTTTTTGTGGTGCTGGGGATTGAACCCAGGGCCTTGTGCATGCGAAGCAAGCACTCTACCAACTGAACTATATCCCCAGCTCTATAGCTCCTTATTTGAAGTCATACTTTTGAGATGATAAAAAGCAAAATTCTACCCTACTTCACCACAGATGCAATGTTGTGTTATCACACTGTATCAATACCGGATTGTTACATCAAGAGTTTATTGGTTAGAGTTGATGGGTTTGTTGACCAGAGCTGTTAATAAGTAATTATTGACTTCACTATCTTTTTTTTTTTTTTTTTTTTTTTGTGTGTGTGTGTGTGTGTGGTGCTGAGGATTGAACCCAAGGCCTTGTGCATGCAAGTCAAGCACGCTACCAACTGAGCTATTTCCCTAGCCCATTCTTTTTGTAGTTGCAACAAGTGGTAAATGAAATGAACCATAAGTTTGGGAGGAATGGGAATGGAGTAGCAATATTCTTTTTTGCAAAATCCAAGAGATACAGAAAATTGCATAAAACAAATGTGCAGCTTATGATAAATTAAACCCCCTTATTAATTACCCCAGAAACCTTCCATGTGCCCTATGCTAATTATACATCTTTTCTCCCTCAGAAGTGACAACTGTTTATCCTCTAAAGGTAATCACTACTTTGCTGTGTATAGTGGCACATACCTGTAAACCCAGTGACTCAGTAGCCTGAAAGAGGATTGCAAATTTAAGGCCAGCCTGTTAGCAAGGTCCTGTCTCAATAAAAAGGGTTGGGCTGTAGTTCAGTGGTAAAATACCTCTGGGATCAGAGTGGTGGGGGGTGGGGAGGGGTAATCACTACCTTAATATATTGAATTTTATCACAAAAATGTGTATCTTTGAACATCACAGTTTAGTCCTGCCCGTATGATATTTAAGTATTTGTTGCTGGGTGTGGTGGCACATGCCTGTAATCCCAGTAACTCGGGAGGCTAAGAAAGGAGGATTGTGGGGGCTGGGGATGTGGCTCAAGTGGTAGCGTGCTTGCCTGGCATGCGTGCGGCCCCAGTTCGATCCTCAGCACCACATACAAACAAAGATGTTGTGTCTGCCAAAAACTAAAAAATAAACATTAAAAAATTCTCTCTCTCTCTTTAAAAAAAAAAAAAAAAGAAAAGATAAGAAAGGAGGATTGTGAGTTCAAAGCCAACCTCAGCCACTCAGTGAGACCCTGTCGTTAAATAAAATACAAAAAAGGGCTGGGGATGTGGCTCAGTGATTAAGTGCCCCTGAGTTCAATCCCTGGTACCAAAAAAAATAAATACATACACACACATATACACACATATATAAAATTTGTTGTTGTTTTTTTGTTTTGTTTTTGTTTTTAAAGAGAGAATTTTTTAATATTTATTTTTTGGTTTTTGGAGGACACAACATCTTTATTTTCTTTAATGTGGTCCTGAGGATCGAACCCAGCAACCCACGCATGCCAGGCGAGCGCGCTGCCGCTTGAGCCACATCCCCAGCCCTAAAATTTGTTTTGATGTGATTTTATTTATTTATTGGTACTAGGGATTGAACCCAGGGATACTTAACCAGTGAGCAGCACATCCCCAGCCCTTTTTATTTTTTATTTTTAGATAGTCTCATTAAGTTGCTTAGGGCCTCACTAAATTACTGAGGCTGGCTTTTAACTTACGATCCTCCTGCCTCACTCTCCCAAGCCACTAGAATTACAGACATGCACCATACCTGGCTTTGATGTGATTCTTAGTTACCTTATCAGTGCCTCAGTGTCTTGCTTCAACTAGTTTTATCTGTCTTTATCAGAAGACATTACAACCAGGAAAATACCCTGGCATAAATACATCCAGTCTATAGTGCTTTTCAGCCTAAACACAGAGCCGAGGATCTGTCTGCTGAACATTGGTTGACCTGCTTTCTGTCGTTAGCATAATGTGGTTCCTTAGCAATCACTAACATGATTTGAGACTTTCAAAGCACTTTTAACATACAAAATTTTATTTGGTCTTTGAATCACCCCTGTGATTTAGATGAGAGTAAAAACTGCATTTTATAGATACTGAAACTTATTTGAGGGAGGGGGTTGTTTTGTTTTTGTCTGTTTCCCTGCTCTTTCTACTTTGCAGTACAAGAACGTGACCTCCATGAGATTAGACTCTTTGTTGTGTTCATGCTGTATCTCTAGCACTTAGAACAAGGTCTGGTGCTCAAATCTGTTTATCAGAATAAATAACTGATAAATTGTATAGAAACCCCAGATTTAAAGGTCCCCCTTAGTCACTTAGAATACCACTGCTCTGTGTCTGCCTACATTGTGGCAGGAGGATCCTAAACCCCTGGCTTCTTTCCAGTTAGTACCAGGTAAGGTAGGGTTATCCAAGCCAGTATATAGTTTATTACCAGTATGGTGGCTAGGGAGGCTTTCACTCTATGGGCTGGGTGTGTTCTAGAAGTTAGGGAGCAACACTGGCACAGCACCTGACATATAACTTATGCTCTGAGACAATGGTTCAAATCAATTAAAGAGTTCCAGATATCTCAGGACCCAGTTACATGCAACATGCCCCACTGTTCCTGTTTTACACCAAGATTAATCCCAAGGACTTCCCAAATCCCCATACCTATTCTAGCAACCTGAACTACTATTCTCTATCTTTAGATTCTCCTGGGTCATACCTCATTTAATATGAAGTAGATTTTTTTGTTTTTTGTTTGGTTGGTTTTTATACTGGGGATTGAACCTACTGAACTATGTCTCTAGTCCTTTTTTTTTTTTTTTTCTTTTTTTTTTTTTTTTTTTTGAGACAATGTCTCAAGATCTTAAGTTGCTGAGGTTGGCTTCGAACTTGCAATCCTCCTGTCCCAGCCTCCCAGGTCACTTGGATTACAGGTGTGTGCCATGATGCCTGGTTTAATAAGCCAGTTTTTCCCCAAGAAGCAGAGTCTTCCAAGTTTTCTGTCATTCTGTTTTACAACTATGCCTCATTTCCCTAGGTTATTGACTTTTCCACTAGACAGTTCTTGCAAGGCCTAGGCCATGTTTCATTAAGTTTTTGTCTTTCCTTAGAATTTGGCATGTGTTTTTCCATAATTTAGATACAAATTGAATGCTTAGGAGATTAACTTGAGTTAAGGAAAGTGATGCTAAATTCCTGGGCTGGTCTTGAGTGTTAAATGGTTTGGGGAGTTTGAGTGGCTCAGGGCTGGGATTGTGACTCAGTGGTATAGCACTTGCTTAATAAGTGTGAGGCACTGGGTTCGGTCCTCAGCACCACATTAAAAAAAATAATAATAAAATAAAGGTTTGTATACATCTACAACTAAATAATGTTTTTTTTTTTTTTTTTTTTAAGTTTGAGTGGCTAGGAGCTTATACTGAAAATTGATTTGTTCACAGGCAACAGCGAGTGACCAAGTCACCAGCACCTGTGCACCAAGGGAATTCCTCTTCCCCAGCCCCTGCTGCTTCCATCACAAGCATGGTCAGTGACTGTTGACTGTGAATGACTTTTTAAGACTTCTCTGTTTGTGCCTATGTTGTGTGTACCCCAAAGTGTCCTTGAATGCCTTTCCAGAAGAATACTGATCTAATAGTCTTTTATACCTGCTTGTGTGTGTGGTAGAACAGTAGGATTTATTTGAGACAAAAGCTCCTAGAAGGTGAGAAAGGACCCAATAAGGGTTCCCCTCATACTTTTTTTTTTTTTTAAGGGGTGGGTGTGGGTGTGTGTGTAAACACAATACCTTTATTTTATTTTTATGTGGTGCTGAGGATTGAACCCAGTGCCTCACATGTGCTAGGCGAGCACTCTATCACTGAGCTACAACCCTGGCCCCTCATACTTGCCTTTTTATTAGATCTTTCCCTGGTCGATCACAGTCTAACTCAGATTTCCAGTGAAGCCCCTATATTGGGGAAAGTATATTCCCGCAGATAGATGAGCATGAGCCAAAACACACAGATGACATAGTATATGCAGACGGACATCTCATACAGGGAGGCAGAAGGAAAAGGTGAGAAGTGAGGCAGACTGGTGGATAGGGGTAACAAGTCACATCATGGTGAGTACATTTTATATGCTGGGAGTTTGCAAACTGTTCGGGTCTCAGGTATAGGAACTAAGGCTGGGACAGAACAGTTTGTTTGTAGGGACCAATATAAGTTTTACAACTGACTGGTGGTATTCTTTTTTTTAAAAAAATGTTTCATTCTCCACAGACTTTTTATCATCTAGTCAAAGCTGATAGAGACCCTTCAGGGTTCCACATGGGTCTTTTACATTTTTTATATCTTTTTTTGTTTTGTTTTGTTTGTGTGTGTGTGTGTGTGTGTGTTTGTGGTACTGACGATCAAACCCAGTGCCTCACATGTGCCAGGCAAGTGCTCTAACATGAAGCCACAATCTCAACTTTCCACGTGGGTCTTTGCACCAAACACCTTGAAAGCAAGATCTAGAAGAAGCTTTTCTATTCATAAGTTTTGCGCTGTCTCCTTACATCAAGGATTTTGGGGTTGTTTAAGAAGAAAAGAAATATATAGGGCTAGGGCTGGAGCTCAGTGGCAGAGCGCTTGCCTAGCATGTGTGAGGCACTGGGTTGGATCCTTAGCATCTCATAAAAAATAAGCAAATAAAATAAAGGCATGCTGCCCATCTACAACAAAAAAATTTTTTTAATTAAGAAAAAAAAAGACATAGTAAAATAGTGACAAGTTCACTGTTTTATTGACCCCAAGTGATGAATGACCCCAAGTGATAATTCCTACTGGCTGAGGAAACTATTTGAATAATTGTAATGGTAGCCAGGTGAAAAAGAGAAACATTAAGAACATGGAGTTATTTAGATTCTGACATTGTCATTGAAATGTCCTTTCCCAGATGCAAGAGTAAGCTATTACTCTAGGTTATACTTCTGCCCATGCTTTTCCTCTTCCCAGCCTAATCTTGGGCTGGGAAAATGTGTGAAACAGAGGCAGGTCCCCATCATAAAAAATTGTGAGCAAGTGGTATAAAGATCTTGGGACACCACCTATTTGCCCCTTTAGGTGTCTTTTCCTTCAGTAGCTATGATGAACATTAGAGTTGGTCTCTGCCACCATGTGGGCAATATCGTGTCTCTTTTTTGTTGATTATCTTGACCACTTAAGCCTGCCTTAATATTAGAGAAGGGAACTTAGAGCGTGCTGATGCCAATTGCTTTTCTCTGCAGCTTTCTCCTTCCTTCACCCCTACCTCAGTAATCCGGAAGATGTACGAGAGCAAAGAGAAAAGCAAGGAGGAGCTAGCATCGGGAAAAGCCGTTCCTATTGACAGTAAAGAAGATACTCAGAAGGCCGCTGAAGGTAGTACTACAGAGTTGTTAGCTATACTATTCAACAAAGAATGTCTCAGAACATGGGCCTTAGTGCTGAACAACCTGACCTGTTTCTCTGCAAGGCCCTGGGCCCATCCCCTGGACCATAGTTCTGTGTCTATGAGAAGGGTCGGACCAGCTCACAGTCACTTGCTTGTTCATATTCTGACCAACATAAGGGGTGTAAATGCTGATTTAAAAGAATAACTAGGGCTGGGGGATATAGCTCAGTTGGTAGAGTGCTTGCCTCACATGCACAAGGCCTTTGGTTCAATCCCCAGCTACACCATAAATAAATAAATACATAAACAAACAATAAGCTTAAAAATAAATAACTAAGCTGGGCGCCATGGCATATTCACATAATCCCAGTGTCTCAGGAGACTGAGGCAGGAGAATTTTACGTTCAGGGCCAGCCCTAGCAACTTAGCAAGGCCCTAATTGCCCCAGCAATCTAGCAATACCCTGTCTCAAAGGCCTGGGCTTAGGTGTGGTGGTGCACACCTGTAATCCCAGCAACTCCGGAGGCTGAGGCAGAAGGATTACAGGTTCCAGGCCAACCTCAGTAACTTAGTGAGCCCTAAGTAACTTAGAGAGACCCTGTCTCAGAATACAAAAAAGGCTGAGGATGTGGCTGAGTGGTCAAGTAAGTGCCCCTGAATTCAATCCATGGTTCCCCACCCCCTCAAAAAAAAAAAAAAAAGAAAAGAAAGGGCACTACAGGTGTGGCTCAGTGGTTGAGTGCCTTTGGGTTCCAATCCCTTGTAACAAGTACCAAACAAAAAGAATGACTTTAGTCTTCAAGATTATTCTTGTTCTGCTTCTGAAAGTTTGGATACTGAAGTGTCTAATACAATCTGTGAAATGAGTGAAGCATATAGATGTAAGAGCCTTTCAAAAGTGTATAGAAAATGTGCAAGAGGGCTGGGGATGTGGCTGAAGCGGTAGTGCGCTCGCCTGGCATGCGTGCGTCCCGGGTTCGATCCTCAGCACCATACAAAGATGTTGTGTCCGGTGAAAACTGAAAAATAAATATTAAAAAATATACATATCTCTCTCTTAAAAAAAATGTGCAAGAGGCTTATGAGTTGCACAGTAGTGATCATGAAGGACATGGTGGTAGACATAATGACACAGATTCAAATGAGTTAAGTGTTAAGTATTGGTGTGAGAGCTTTTTGCTCGTTTGAGAAGGCTTGGTGGGGGGGTGAATATAATGGAAATCCTGTTGGTCCTATTAGGTTAATTTAGATTCTTTGAGCAGGCTGTGATTGTTGCTCTAATTTTCTGCTGTGGATTTTCATGATATTGTACTTGATTGTCTCCTCAGGGTATAAAAAGCATGTTAATCACAAGCATTTGACAATGATGAAACTACATGAACCACCAGGCCTGATATATCAAGCATTTGCCAGTAGTTGTCCTTGGATTGGGAGGAATATGAGAATATAGATGTGGGCTCCCTGCCCCAGCCTACTTCCCCCATACCTCCTTGTCCCCAATACTGGGAATTAAACCAAGGTGTACTGTACCACTAAGCTATATCCCTAATCATTTTTATTTGAAGATATGGTCTTGGGGGGCTGGGGTAGTGGCTCAGCGGTAGAGTGCTCATCTAGCATGCACAAGGTACTGGGTTCGATCCTCAGCACCACCTAAAAATAAATAAAATAAATAAATATATTGTATCCATCTTTAAGGAAAAAAAAATGGTCTTGCCAAGTTGCTGAAGCTGGCCTTGAATTTGCAATCCTGCTTCTGCCTCCCAAGTATATGAATTATAGGCATATACCACCATGCCACGCAAGACGTGGGCTTAGAGACATTTATATAACTTTTGAGACTTTGGTTTAGGGAATTTATCAAAACTTCTTTGTAGGTTGGGGGACATAGCTTAGTGGTAGAGAGCTTGCCTAAAATACCCAAGATCCTGGATTTGAACACCAGCACCAACAAAACAAAAACATGATAGCAACAACAAAGCTTTGTTCCAGCAAGAAGTTGAAAAACTTGGGGTCTAATCCTAGTTCTATCCCTAACTACTCCTGTAACGTTGACTCACAGTTCATCATCTTGGCCTATTTATAAGGCAAATGATGGTCCCTATCATGTAGTCTTTTTTTTTTTTTCCTGTAGCTGTAGATGGACAGAATGCCTTTATTTTATTTATTTTTATGTGGTGTTGAGGATTGAACCCAGTGCCTCACGCATGCTAGGCAAGTGCTCTGCCACTGAGCTACAGTCCCAGCCCTTATCATGCAGTCTTCTAAATTTGTCAAGGTATCAATTAAGAATTGAGATTTACTGGACCTTTGGGAAACCAAAGTATTTGGCCAGAGTAAAGGTTTGCCAATACCAAAATATTCTCTTCTGGATCCTTACAGAGAACTTGCTGTCGTCCAACTCCATTCCAAATGCTGATCGAGACTCTTCTCCTATGACAAATCCTAAACTGTCAACATTACAGCCGTCTTCATGTTCTACCCCACTGTCCCAGACAAACCGATACACCAAAGAACAAGATTACCGACCTAAAGCAACTGGAAGAAAAACACCCACCTTGGCATCCCCAGTTCCAGGAACACCTTTTCTCCGCCCTGTCCACCAAGTTCCCCTTGTTCCCCATGTCCCCATTGTTCGGCCTGCTCATCAACTTCACCCAGGATTGGTTCAGAGGATGCTGGCCCAGGGGGTACATCCACAGCATCTTCCAACTTTGTTGCAAGCTGGTGAGTTTCTAACCTGGCTTGGTTATCTGTAGACCTGGCATGACATTTGCTAGTATTAATTGAACTATGGAAGATTTTCATCCCTTTAAAGATGTTACTAGAGTCTAGCATGTAAATGGTGGGCAATGGGAACAATCCAATCCATCTTTTTGTCCTTTAAAAGCATTTTCTTGGGGCTGGGGTTGTGGCTCAGTGGTAGAGTGCTAGCCTAACATGCTTGAGGACTAGGTTCAATCCTTAGTACCACATAAAAATAAGATATTGTGTTCACCTAAACTAAAAAATAAATATTAAAAAAGTAGTTTTTTTTTAACTTTTTTTTTTTTTTTTTTTAGGTACAAATAATTGAATCCAGGTGTACTTAACAACTAAGTCACATCCCCAGCCCTTCTTTTTTTTTTTTAACTATTATTATTTTATTTATTTTTTTAAATATTTATTTTTTAGTTGTAGTTCGACACAGTACCTTTTTTTTTTTTAATGTGGTGCTGAGGATCGAACCCAGGGTCGCGCATATGCTAGGCAGTTGCTCTACTGCTGAGCCACAACCCCAGTCCAACTATTATTATTTTAATACCTTTATTTTATTTATTTATTTATGTGGTGCTGAGGATTGAACACAGTGCCTCATACTTGCAAAGCAAGCACTCTACCACTGAGCCATAACCCCAGCCCTATTACTATTATTTTGAGACAGTCTCACTAAGTTGCTTAGAGCCTTGCTAAGTTGTTGAGTCTGGCTTCAAACCTGTGATCCTCCTGCCTCAGCCTCCCAAGTCACTGGGATTAGGGTGCATTGCCACACCCAGCCTTCTTAAAATTTTTTTTTTTTTTAAGAGATGGACACAATACCTTTGTTTATTTTAATGTGCTGAGGATCAAACCCAGTGCCTCACACATGCCAAACGTGCTAGGCAGGCACTGTACCACCGAGCCACAACCACAGCCCCCAAAACTTGTCTTTTAAAGATAATGACAAAGAATGCTGATAGCTTAAGTGTTTTTAATTCTTTATATTTAAAAAAGAAAAAAGCTTCCAAATCAGCAAAACTATACAAACTTAAAAATTTCCAGGTACATTAAGACTACTTTTCTAAAGTTTCCTCTTTCTGCCCAACAGGTGTGCTTCCTCCAGGGATAGATCTGACTCATTTACAGGGAATATCTGGCCCAATCCTAGGTCAGCCCTTTTACCCTTTACCAGCTGCTAGTCACCCGCTCCTAAACCCTCGTCCTGGGACACCTCTGCATCTGGCAATGATGCAACAGCAGCTACAGCGCTCAGGTAGGTTCAGTAGTGGGCCAGGTGAGGTTGGAATGGGCAGGCTTGAAGCTTTTAGAACTAGTTTCCAGTGAAGGAGATGAATTAACACTGACACCATTCCTTAACTTGACCTAGCAAGACTGCAGTAAGGAGGGGCTAGGGTTGTGGCTCAGTGGTAGAGCGCTTGCCTTGCATGTGTGAGGCACTGGGTTTGATTCTGAGCACCACATATAAACAAATAAAATAAAGGTCCATCAATAACTGTAGTAAAGTATAACTCAGGAAGATGAAGTAAACCAATTTCTATGGGTTTTGGGATTATTGCTCCTGCCCAGGTTTTCTTTGTTCATGACCTCTTTCTTAGAAGGCCAATAACAATTCAGCATGGGACCTGCCCAGGGTAGATGCTCTCTCACCAGCTAATCTTTCTGTGATGCAGCTGCTTGCCTTGGAAGTGGTCTTGTCATCCAGGGTGGTTTTTCAGTATCGATGGCTTCAGTATAGCTTAGCTTTCTTTCCAAGGTACCAACTTCTAATATTGTTGCCATCTTGAAAAGTAGTTTTCTAAAGAAACTAGAATCCTCTGGTATACTTTTGTTTGGAATTGTATGGATAGAGTTTGAATGAAACAGAGCCTAACAAAGAACTACTTTCCCCCCTTCTTATCTCCATAGTTCTGCATCCTCCAGGCTCTGGTTCCCAGGCAGCAGCAGTCAGTGTTCAGACAACCCCTCAAAATGTGCCCAGCCGGTCAGGCCTGCCCCAAATGCACTCTCAGCTGGAGCATCGCCCCAGCCAAAGGAGCAGCTCTCCTGTGGGTCTTGCCAAATGGTTTGGCTCAGATGTGCTACAGCAGCCCCTGCCCTCCATGCCCGCCAAAGTCATCAGTGTAGATGAACTGGAATACCGACAGTGAGCAGGACAGGCAGGCTTACCTATACCTGGACCTTTGGTGGCGCCCTGCTCAGGACTCTGCTTCCTCATCTCGGTTGGTTTATGGGCTTTTACTTTGGAGCACTCTCGGTGAAGCTGTTGAGGGAACCCACGCACCTGGTGTGGTATGCATTATGACAGAAGGATCTTAACCAATCGAGTGGAGTCTACATAGTCTGAATACAGGATGCACAGTGTCGTCAATCCTGGAAACAGTCTTTCTTTTTTTGTAAGATATGTGAATGAAGTGTTGGTGTCTTCACCAAGAGGTGGCACCTAAGGGTTCTGAGGAAATAAATGTATAGGCCCTTATGTACAGACCTGTGTATAAACAACTTTTGTACATACATATAGAATAGCTTTTTTGAACTTATACAGCTGTACATAAAAGTAGCTGGTATTAGTTAAGCCTGTGTCAACATTTGGATTTTTTTTTTTTTCACTTGTATATTTGGGACATTTTTTTTTCTTTTGGTTGATTAAAGTTGCATATACTATGTGTGTGAATGAAGTGAATGACTTTGTGTTTATTTTTTCCCTGAATTCCTTGATTGTAACAGTTGAACCAAGAGACTCAGTAGATTCCTTGAAGGACCTAATTTTTCTTTAAAACTCATGGAATTGAACTCTATCTCAATTTAGAGGAAAGAAGCTTAATGTTTTTTCTTGAGCCTAGATCCCACTGGGTCAGCTGAGACTGAGCTGACCTGTGATGATAATGGCCTTGAGGCTAATAACAGGATGTCAATATTTGGCAATTTTCAAAATTAAATTCACCTAAGATAATTTGTTTATCGGGGGAAATCATGTATATGGTGGTTTCTCCCAAACATTAACTAGGCTATCCTGTTTATTCATCTCCGCTCCCATACAATCCATTGAAGTCTAATATTTCTCCATACAGAACTTTTCTCAGAAGTTGGGGATGTAAGTGGTTGACTGCTTACCTAGCACATGTGAGGCCCTGGTTCCATCCCCAGTACCAACAACAACAAAAATAAAGTAATAGCCAGGGTGGTCGTGTACACCTATAAATAATCTGAACTACTCAGGAGGCTGAGGCAAAGAGATCACAAATTCCAGTCCAGCCTTTTATAACTCAACTGACTCAAAATGGTTTTTTGTTTGTTTTAAAAGCTGAAGGTGCAACTCAGTAGGTAGAGCACTTGACTAGCATGAGCAAGGCTATGATTTTAATCCCCAGTATCACAAAAAAGAAAAGTGGAAATAAATGGAGATTACAGCTAGGTTTTCAGAATAGATGTGTCTGGCAAACCACGCTTTATTAAGAGGGAAGCCAGATCCACTGCCCCTTTCTTTGTTGTGAAAGATAGATATATTTCACAAACACAATTAGAAATACAGATAAATTTAAGAACCAGAGTTATCCCCTGTAAGTTAATTCTATTCCCTTTATAAAGAACTGATGCAAAAATAAGCATGTGACCCAACTTAAACCATGAAATAAAGTTTTCTTCCATTTCATCTGGTTAAGTTAGGCATTCTGTTAAATTCAACTAAGGGCACAGAACAATGAATTCATTTAATTATACTAAGGTAGGTCAAGGAAAAACATGTAATATGTAATAGAATAGGAAATTCAAACCTTGCTATGAAAGCCAAACCACCAGTCTTGAAGCTCATGAGAAAACCTTTGGCTGCAGGAATGTATGTTTCTCCTCAGAAAGTTCCCTAATGCAAATACTTCTAGAGCTGCCAAGCATAAGCCCAAAGAAGAGAGGGGAAAAGTACTGTAAGCTCTTCCCCCAAGGACTGTGGAGTCACAAATCAAAAGGAGGAAAAGGTACCAAATAATATCAAAGCCTAGTCAAAGCACATCCTCTCATCTTGAACTGGATTTTGATAACCCCTCCCCAGAATCTTGGGTGTGCTAAATGCTTATAAAGTGAATTTTGGCACAAGGATTCCCCAAAATCCAATATGCTGTGGCTACAGAACAAACCTTGCTGGAAATCCCAGTTTAGAAAGCCAATGTTTCCCTACAGCATTGGGGTAGGCTCTGGATCACAAGCTCTATCATGACTACACCAGAAACATGAAGGTCTATATTCTGAAAAGTGACTAGCAACTGAGGCCATCAGGGATTTATGTCCTAGACAGGGGCTAAGTCTCAAGCTCTAGAAAGGGGGAAATAAGCACTGGACAAAAGCTGAGTATACAGGTAATCCCATATCCTCAGACTGTACAACCTCTTAAAATCTAGCATATCTCCTCTGAAGACAAAATCAAAATATCGTCTTCCTACAAACATGTTCCTGATTTTCTCAGGAACTATCTCCTCTTATCATCCCTATAGTCCATGCTGAAATCTTGATTTCTAGACACTAAATCACCAAGTTTAAATTTCTCCTCTGGACCTATGTTCCCACCTAATCCCACCTCCATGATGAAGTGTATGCATAAAACTCTGATCACATAGTTTGCCCACTTGCAATGTTCATCCTGACTTCATACCTTCACCCAGGTTATGTGGTTGAGGCCAGGACTAACATGGGGTTCAAACAGAAAAGGCTGAGCTTTGAGTAAGGAGGCGTTTAGTGGTCCAGCTGGCAACACAGTTAAGCTTAACATTAGCCCAACATTGATGATATACAGCTGTGCTCTGACTACGACAGACAGGAAGCCCAGTAAAACAAAGGGCCCAATGATAACAGGTATCAACCTTCACTTGAGTATTTCTATACCAAATACAATGCTAAGCAATTTCATAAATACTATTTTCCTTAATAACAATCACCATTAATATCCCCATGTTACATGAGAAAACAGGTTTACAAAGACTGAGCAATTTTTCCAGGGTTCCACAACTAATTAGAGGTGGAGCTGCATGACAAACCCAAATATGCCTGGTCACAGTAATTTACTCAATTGCATCTCCCCAAATTGGCCAGCATAGCAGAGAATAATCAGTTAACTTATCCCTGTCTCCAGTATCATTTGGAAACGTCTGTTAATTTTTTTTTTTTTTTGGTACCAGGATTGAATTTGGGGGCACTCAACCACTGAGCCACATCCCCAGCTCCCCTCTGTATTTTAAAGACAGGGTCTCGCTGAGTTGCTTAGTGCCTCTCCATTGCTGAGGCTGGCTTTTAACTCATGCTTTTCCTAAGCTTCTGGAGTTACTGGGATTATAGTGTGTGCCACCATGCCCAGCTTGGAAAAGACTGTTTAAAAGGACTAAAGGGTTGGGGATGTGGCTCAAGCGGTAGCGCACTTGCCTGGCATGCGCGGGGCCGCTGGGTTTGATCCTCAGCACCACATAAATAATAAAATAAAGATGTTGTGTCCACCGAACACTAAAAAATAAATATTTTAAAAATTCTCTCTCTCTCTCAAAAACTAAAAGGACTGAAGCCTTTATCTAGTCGGAAGGATCTCCCACCATTAACCATCAAATGTTACATGTCAAGTTTTTATCCATTTCACATTTAAGACCAAGCAATGAAGTATTTCTGTAGCTACCTCATTGTACACATCCTTCCTTATTCAGTATATCCCCAAACAAATCTGACAACACCACACAGACTCCACAAAGCCAACAGGGCTATGAGATCTTTTATGCAGTTCAACATAGAAGGTGACACCAAAGTAACTGAAGTTATAATTTGTGTGCCTCCATCTCCCACCCCTGTATTCTGATCCAGTGGCTGCCAAAGACAGAAGGGGTGAAGTAGGGTGCTTGGTCATAGAGAAAGTTGCTGTGGTTGGCCCCCACAGATGGAAAAAGAAAAGGTTTCATTTCTTCACAATCTGAATGACATCCTCGTCCTCCAATGTATGGTCTTTACCCACTTTCTGTGGATTGTGTTTCACAGAGAGACCCCAGACCAGAGCGCTGTTTGGAAGGAAAAAAAACAATGGTCAGTATAAATAATAACTTAGCTTCTGCCTTATTTGCCTGGTTACTAACCTTCTCAGAGTTAGCTTCCTAGCTCTTAAAAGCTACAGACCTGGCTCCCAGACCACACTCAAAGCTACAGGTTTTATCTTCCTGAACAGAGTGATACACTGGAGCCTTTGCATACAAGGCAGCAAAGATTTTGGAAGTTTTATGGTTCCTCTGTTCCACAGCCAGTTTAAATGTCAAAAACAAGGGCTGGGGATGTGGCTCAATGACAGCATACTTGCCTAGAATGCTCAAGTCATGGGGGTGGGGAGAAAATCACAAATGAAAATGTGAAGAGCCTAGCTCCAAATTTAAAGATTTAAAAATACAAAGCATGGATTGCTGTAGAAAAATATCCTGATAAATTCAGAGTAGAGGGGCTGGGGTTGTGGCTCAGAGGTAGAGTGCTCGCCTAGCGTGTGTGAGGCACTGGGTTCTATCCTTAGCACCATATAAAGTAAAATAAAGACATTGTGCCCACCTATAAGTAAAAAATAAATACTAAAAAAAGAAAAAAAAATTCAGACTAGAAATTGATTGCCATAGATACAATGTTATAGGCTGTTACAGCATTTATTGGATCTAATGAAATATCAGTGGGTACTAAAAGAAATAAGAGTCTCACTCCTCAGTTACCTAGGAAGATATTTCTTATCAAGAAATTGTTATTTCCTCGTGATTTCCTAGAGTATATAAAGGTATTGTGTATTCATGGGTTGCCAATATTAATACCTTGCTGGGCACAGTGGCACATGCCTGTAATCCCAGTGACTAGGGAGGCTGAAGCAGTAGGATGGAGAATTCATAGACAGCCTCAGCAACTTAGCAAGGCTCTAAGCAACGTGGCGAGACCTGTCTCTAAACAAAATATAAAAAGGAACTGGGACTGTGGTTCAGTGGTTAAGCACCCCAGTACCCACACACCCCCAAAAAATACCTTGTGCTAGTGATAGAAATTGATAAACCCAAAACTGCAACCTATCTCACAGAAACTACAAATCAACAGGTAAAAATATAAAAAGATACACTGGTATTTTATTATCATTGCAACAAAACCTTTAAAAATCCATATTCCAAAAAGAATCCACTAAATATTAAGATACTACTTTAAAAACAGATAAATAGGCGGGCATGGTAGTGCATGCCTGTGATTCCAGCACCTCAGGAGACTGAAGCAGGAGGACTGCAAGTTCAAGGCCAGTCTCAGCAACTTGGGCCCTAAGCAATTTAGTGACCCATCTCAAAAAATAAAAAGGGGCCAGGTACAATGGCGCACACCTGTAATCCCAGCATCTTGGGAAGCTGAGGTGCTAAGCAACTCAGTGAGACACGGTCTCTAAATAAAATTCAAAATAGGGCTGGGGATGTGGCTCAGTAGTTGAGTGCCTCTGAGTTCAATCCCTGGTACCAAAAAAATAAAAAATAAATAAAAAGGACTGAGGGTATAGCTCAGCACCCCTGAGTTCAAACCCTAATACCAAAAAAGAAATATAGGAGAAGGCATAGCTATAACTCTCAGAATTCCAATAAATAAATGTAAAATTAAAGAGGGAAATAATTACCACACTAATAAATGTTACAGATAAATGCTACATTCAAAAAGCAAAAACATGAAGAAAAAATAAATTTGCATAGTCTCAAAGTATCTATCTACCTCAACCCAGCAGCAGCTCAGGAGGTTCACAAGTTCAAAGCCAGCCTCAGCAAAAGTGAGGTCTAAGCAACTCAGTGAGACCCTATCTCTAAATAAAATACAAAATAGGGCTGGGAATGTAGCTCAGTGGTCTAGTGCCCCTGAGTTCAATCCCCAATACCCATCTCCCCCAAAAATTGAAGTCAAGTATCTACCTCAAAATATTTATCAAATGCAAAAATAAAAAAACCTTCTTTACACAGTAGAGAAAACCAGCCTATACCAATTTAACCAAGTGACCAAGATAATATCATCAGTAAAATATGTCAATATCATGAATCCCATGGTATGTACTCAAAAGAACACAAAGTCATTTTTGTGGTATTCCTACCAAAAATGTATAATCTCACTTCAATCATGAGAAAAAGTCAGACAAACCCAAAGTGAGGGACATTTGACAAAATAACAAGCAAACATTTTCCAAAAGTGTCAAGGTCAAAAACAATAAAAGTCTGAGGAAATATTACTGGGAGACTAGAACTGGAAAACTAAGGAGAAATAACAAGTAGATGCCATGTAATTTCCTGGAACACAAAAAGGACAATTTGTACAAAAAAAAAAAAAAAAAAAAGAAAAATTCAAATTAAGGTCTGTAGTTCTAATTAATAACATTTTACCAATGTTTAGTTCCTATTCTGTTGTTGTTGTTTGGGGGCAGATACTGGGGACTGAACTTAGGGGCACTGAGCCACATCCCCAGCCCCCATTTTATATTTTATTTAGAGACAGGGTGTCATTGAGTTGCTTAGTGCCTCGCTATTGCTGAGGCTAGCTTTGAATTTTTGATCCTCCTGCCTCAACCAGGCACAATGACACACATTTGTAATCCCAGCAACTGGGGAGGGAGAGGAAGGAGGATCACAAGCTTTGGATAAGCCTGGGCAACTTAGTGACAGCCTGTCTCATGAAAGAGCTTAAATTGTAGCTCAGTGGTTAAGAGCCCCTGGGTGTAATTCTCCAGTACCACAAAATCAAAACAGCCTATAATCAGCAGGAAAAAGTATATGCAAGAGATCAGGGGGCTTTCACCCATGCTTAAAGTTTAAAGGGGGACTCAGTAACCAGTGCTGACCAGTATGACTCTGATAGGAAAAATTAATATTTGTGCTTACCAAAAGGAAGATAAATTAATAAAGGCAAGTCAGGGCCCTTTGTATAATCAACTCCTCCAAAGAGGCTTCTGGAGCTCTGCTAGCTCTAACTAGGCCTGATGTTAAGAAACACTACAGAATTCTAACCAAACACTGTACAGGTTCCCTGCTACCTGACTGCTTTAAGTTATATCCCTAAGAGATATTATTAGTGAATTCAGGTGCTCACAAGGAAAAGGCACCACAACCATGATACTTACTATTTAAATTCTTTGATAAGATTTTTGTGAATCTTCATGCAGAAATCCTCCACTGTGGTCCTGGAGTAAGGCAGCACCACTGGAGATGTGTAATCTGGTAACTGGCCTTTGGGTTTGGTGTAACTAGAATAAAGAAGGCATAAAGATTGCCACCTTCTTAAATGGATCATGTATTGAATGCAAACCAACCTTCTATCATCTCTAAGGATAATCTCCAACCTGAGGAACAGCGTACCCTCAACATGACCCAGGAGACAACAGGAACCAATTTACTTCTACCTCCAGAAAAAACATTTTGTTACCAAACCTGAGGACATCATTTTAGGACTGGTTTCATTGCTACAGCAACATTACCCCATCCACAAAGACTTACATTCTCACTAGTTTTAAATAGTCCCAGATCTTTTCTAACAGGTCATCAAAATTCCAGCGGTGATGGGCAGAGATGGGTACACAGTGAGGCACTTTATAGATGATATCCAATTCCTCAATGGAGATTTGATCGATCTTATTTAATACATAAATACAGGGAATATAAACCCTGTAGAAGTAGAAGATAAACAAGTTATTAATCTGGAGCTGTGGACACAACTGCCAGCCTGACTGTGACATCCCAAATCAGAGACTCTAGATCATAAGTAGCTACCAAAAAAAAAAAAAAAAAAAAGTTCCTACTAAAATAAGTAAAAAACCAAAGACTCAACCATATGTTGAGAAGTAACTCAAGCCCTAGCCCAGGCATGAAGCTAGTTGCTGGGGGATTGGTTTTCTACAAAACTATATTAAGAATTAATTATAATTTCTTCCTTCCTTGTTTTTTTTTGAAGAGGTACTGGGGATTGAACCTGGGATGCTCTATCACTAAGTTACATATACTTTTTTTTTAATATTTTTGTGTTTTAGGTGGACACAATATCTTTATTCTACATTTATGTGGTACTGAGGATCAAACCCAGTGCCACGAGCATGCTAGACAAGTGTTCTACCACTGAGCCACAACCCTAGCCACCCCTCATATACTTTTTATATTTTATTTTGAAACATGTTCTTGCTAAGTTGCTTAAGGGCTCATTAAACTGCTGAGACTAGACTCAAACTTGTGATCTGCCTGCCACAGCCTCCCAAATTGCTAGGATTAGGTATGTGCCACCAAGCCTAGCTTAAGAACGTAAGTATAATTTCTTTTATTCTTGGTAGTAGGGATTTAACCCAGAGGTACTTAACCACAGAGCCACATCCCCAGCAATTTTTTTTTTTTTTTTTTTTTTTGAGACAGGGTCTCACTAAGTTGCTTAGGGTCTCACTAAATTGCTGAGGTTGGCCTCAAACTTGTGATCCTCATGCATCAGCCTCCCAAAATCACCAGGATTACAGGCATGTGCCACTGTGACAGCAAGAATATAATTTCTAATAATATATGAGAATTTTTAAAGATCTTAAAAAATTTTAAGCACAGTGTCTAGCAATGTTATATTTCCAGTGTACAATTAATGTGGCAGCTAAGATTACTAATAGGCAAGCCATTATTTCTCAGGCTTCTGTTACCTCATAAAATGCCTAATGCCTAAATAGTTTTTGTTTTCAAATGAGAATCAAATAAATTCATCTAACAAAAAGAAATGAAACTGAAAAATATTATATTTAAATACTAGGAATAACTTTTAAGAGTAAACTTTAGATAGGTAGGCTCTCAGGGAAAGGAAAAAAAAGAATTACAAGCATGACCAATCACACTGACTCTTCAGTTAGATGAATAAAATCTACAGCTTATATGCTTGTAACAAATCAATTTGAAAATAATAAAAAAACAGTAAATTTAAACGTCACCAGATTCAAAGACTTACACAATGATTTATGGCTTGGCTTCTTGACCAAAGAGAAATAGTTTGACTATCAAATACGAAGGATTATCGTGGGACTTGATTTCCAAAGAAGCTTGCTTGAGAATCTACATGTTTCTTTCTTTTTATTTTTTTTTTTATTTTTTAGTTTTAGATGGATACAATACCTTTATTTTTATTTATGTTTATATTGTGGTGAGGATAGAACCCAGTGCCTCACAAGTGCTAGGCAAGCACTCTACCAGTGAGCCACGACCCCAGCCCCTAGAGAATCTGCATACGTCTTTCAGGGAAAATATATATATAAAATCAGAGAGCTTGATCTTGGCATGTCACTCGTCTTTTCTTCTCTGAAAAGCAAAGGGTATCCACACACTGACTTTGGGTGTGCATACCTTTACTGTCCTTAAATAAATCTTTGCTTATGGCTCGCTTCTAACAGGTTCTAGAATTCTTTTCAGGCAGAAAAAGTTAAGAATCCACCCAGGGACGAGTGAGGCCCCAGTTTCCTCTTTGGAGGGACCTCCTCAGAACCCTATCCATTGACAGTTTAAATTACTAAAGTGTTAATAATAACACTTCAAGGAACAAAGTTTCAGCTACATATTCTTGGGTTGGATAGACAAGGCTGGCCTTCTCACCTTCTATAGGACAACCTATATGATTTCTCACACGGATTAATTCTGGGAGAGCAGAATTAGTTACCTACTATCTTCAACCACCACTTGACAATTTAGAGGACAACCTAGTTCACTACAAAAAAACAAAATGGGCTGGGTGTGGTGGCACACGCCTATAATCCCAGGGGCTTGGGAGGCTGAGGACTGCGAGTTCAAAGCCAGCCTCAGTAACTTGGTGAAGCTCAAAGAACTCAGTGAGACCCTGTCTCCAAATAAAATACAAAATAGGGTTGGGGATGTGGCTCAGTGGTTAAGTGCCCTGGGTTCAATCCCCATTACAAAAAAAAAGGGGGGGGGGATGGGTTGTTGTTTATTTGTTTGGGTTTTGTTTTTTTTTTTTGGTATTGGGGATTAAACAAGGGGCACTTACCTACTGAGCCCTAAAATAGGGAATTTGATCATCATTCAATTTGTAGAACAAGTAAGAATTTACAAATTAAAACCCATCCCTCATTTTACAGCTAAAAAAAATCAAGGGCTGGGGATGTGGCTCAAGCGGTAGCGCGCTCGCCTGGCATGCATGCGGCCCAGGTTCGATCCTCAGCACCACATACAAAGAAAGATGTTGTGTCCGCCAAAAACTAAAAAATAAATATTAAAATTCTCTCTCTCTCTCTCTTAAAAAAAAGAAAAGCATATTAATAAATAAATAAATAAAATCAAACCCACTATGACTTAACGTAGTATCACAACTAGGGGATACAGTAGTTGAGTGCTTGCTTAACATGCATAAGGCCCTGGGTTCAAATAAAAGGAAAGAGAAAGCTGGGAGCAATGGCTCATGCCTATAATCTCAGTAACTCAGGAGGCTGAGGCAGGAGGATCACAAGTTCAAAGCCATCCTCAGCATCATAGTGAGGCCCTGTCTCAAAATAAAAATTTTAAAAAGGACTGGGATAGTGGCTTAGTTGTTAAGTGCCCCTGGGTTCAATCCCCATTACAAAAAAAAAAGGAGAGAGAGAGAGAAAGAAATCAAAATTTTAAAGGATAGCAGCATATATACCTGGCACATTTATATAGGCTGAGGCAGGTGGATCACAAGTTCAAGGCACAACAATTTATCAAAACACTGTCTCAATATTTAAGGAAAAAAAAAAAAAGTCTGGGAATATAACTCAGTAGTACAGCGCCCCTGGATTCAATACCAAGTATGGGTTAGAGTTTGAGGGGAGACAATAGCACAACTGGAGTTAGAATTTATATCTGCCAGATTTATGATCCAATATTTTCTTCTTCAAATTCAAAATCAAGCCCAAACTGCACATTCATTCAGTACCTGTTTCCTTCCACCACATCAATGAGGTCATCAGCTGTGGCATCACTACGCAAAGTCACATCAGCATTATGAATTTTGTATTCAGCCAGAATGCTCTTCACAGTTTCAGCATCCAGCTCACTCTGAGGGCACTGAATCAACATAGCAAACAATGACTGTTGGGGGTAGAGGAATAAGAACACCTACCCATGTGCCTAAATTATTCAACCTAAGGTACAGAGTCATTAGCAAAGTCATTACCACGTAAGAGTAACTAACCTTTGATAAGTAAAAATTAAAAACTAAAAATTTTTCCAGACTCAAGGAAGGTGCTAATGGGCCGAACTGTTTATTCCACAACCTTAACCTTTATCCCCTAACAGTCATATGTAGAAGTTCTATCCTTAGTATCTCAGAATGTGATTATTTGTAGATAGGGGATTTATTACCATAGCCCTAGCAAACTAATACAGAAAGAAACATGAATACTCAAATTCAAACATTATGTTAGGATAGGGGGGAAAATCTGGGGCATGACAGCTAAAACCTATGTCAATCACCTGAATGTTAGAACTTTAAATTTAATAGAAAGGTCTCAGTCCTCAGTTCCATGACTGAGAATCAGCATGTAGCAGAATAGATCACTCCTCCTATTTGAAGTATATATTCTTTACTTGTATTTCAAGATTGTAAACTTTTCCAGCTTTTCTTTTCCCTCATTGTCTGAGAAATCTTATTTCTTGCAGGACCTCAATCCACAACTACCCCACCAATACTGGGGATTGAACCCAAGGCCACGAGCTTGCTAAGCAAGTGCTCTATCACTGTAACCTCTTTTCTATTTATACTCACTTTCTTAATCATCTCACCTAGGCTCTTGGCTTTACATAATAACCATGAAATTTAGATCTCCTGCCTAGATCATTCATATGTCTTCCCTGACAAGAAGTAGCTGGATATCTAATTGGCATATAAAACCCAAATCCTGACCTCCAAATCTATTCTTCACACAGTCCTACCATTTTACTTTTTATTTGTTCTAATTAGGTTTTTTAAAAATATTTTTTAGTTGTCAATGGATCTTTATTTTATTTATTTATATACAGTGCTGAGAATCAAACACAATGCCTCACACATGCTAGGCAAGCACTCTACCACTGAGCCACAACCCCATCTCAAGTCCTACCATTTTAGTAATGAGTTCATTTGTCCAGCTCAGGACAAAAAACTCTTCAGTCATCTCTCTCACAATCTGTAATTGAACCCACCTATAACTACTACTGTGTACTTTTCAAAATCTTTCCACTATCCATCATTCTATCTCCTCTACTATTACAAATTTGGTCTAAGAAGTCATAATTTCTTCTACTGAATCACTGTGATGACTTCTTACATGATTTCTCTGCTTTGGTTTTAACTCAATTCAGTGTATTCTCAAAACAACTGCCATTTTAATCTCATTAAACCTAAGTCAAATCACGGGTAATTCATAGATCAGACCAAATGACAGTTACTCACTTCTTGCAAAGTAATAGCATGTATAGCCCTATCCTGTGACTGACTTTATATCTCTAAATATTTCTATACTTGCTCACTCAGCTGGTCTTCAGTCTTAACAAAGACATGATCTCCCTTAGAGCCTTACACTTAGCTATTTCTTTTTGGGGGGCAAACCAGGGATTAAACTCAGAGGCACTTGACCACTGAGCAACATCCCCAGCCCTATTTTTTCTATTTTATTTAGAGACAGGGTCTCACTGAGTTGTTTAGTGCCTTGCTTTTACAGAGGCTGGCTTTGAACTCGCAATACTCCTGCCTCAGTCCCCCCAAGCCACTGGGACTACAGGCATGAGCCACCTCATTCAATGCACACCTAACTTATTTCTGCTATATAAAACCCTCTTCCCCAAGATAGACTTTGGTTCACACTGTCATGTCATCACAATAAAGACGATAAACTTAAAAATCCAACCCAAATACCAACATTATCACCTTTCCCTTCTTTACTTTCATTCCTAGATTTATCATTGTCTACTCTATTTTACTTACTAATTGTGTTTACCACTTTACCCAAGAGAAAAGATCTTTGTCTACTTTGTTCCCACTTTTGCTTCCCCAACCACTGCCCAGAGCTGAAGACGATGCCTGGCCTCTGGTACGTGCTCTATAAATTCATGTTAAATAAAAACACAGATATTGGTAGCTACCTACTTCATGCAAGCATAAGATTGGTCCACACTCCTATAAACTACAAACATAAAACCCAAAAGAGGAAATTAAGTTGCACAGATAAGTCATCTCATAACCTGGAAGTCTTTCTTGTCAGTTACTATTATAAGAGAATTATGTTATTCAGTTAGTATAGGAAAAAGTTAGAAAATTTCCAAATATCAATGTCTGTGCACCTCAATCCAATTCCTGCTCCAGTCCCTCCAGTAGCCTATACCATATCTCTTTCCTCACTTACGGTAGCTGTGAGATTAATGCCTCCTTTATCTTTCTTCTTAAAGCCAATGTTGGGAGGTTTACTATTCAAGCGAATACCAAAGCCTTCCAATTCATTTTCAATTATCTTCTTATGTCCTAGTGGCTTCAGGACATCCAGAACAATCAGGATCAAATTGCATGTTCGGGCCACTGAAGATTTAAAATAGAAAAAAAAAAAAAAATTATACCCTAAGTCCAATAAAGCCTTAATTAACTCAAATACTCAAAACAGAGGTGAGTTTTGGGGGCCTACACTTAAGAGGGGATGAAAGTTTTTTTTGTTTTGTTTTGTTGTTTTAGGAAGTACATAAACATACACTAAGTTCTTAAAGTTACCAAAGATATATAGCAGATGTCACTTTGTAGGTATACCTTGAAGTCATTACTTATTTACCCAAATGTTCTACACTTAGTAGAACAACAATAAAAATGAAGACACAAACAATAACCTAAACTCCAGAAGAGCTAAGAAGATTAAATAAAACTCTAAAAGACAAATAAAACTCTAAAAAAACAAGATTATCTGAGCAGAACATACTGGCACATTCCTATAATCCCAGCTACTTCGGACTTTGGAGGCTATGGCAGGAAAATCCCAAGTTCAAACCAGTATCAACAACTTAACAAGACCCTGTCTGGGGCGGGGGAGCAGCAGGGAGGCTGGGGATGTATCTCAGCTGGTAGAATACCATTTGGTTCAATCCCCAGTACCACCAGAGGGGCAAAAAAAAAAATCTGGTTAACATACTTTTTTTTTTTTTAATATTTTTATTAGTTGCTGATGGACCTTTATTTATTTATGTTTGTATGTGGTGCTGAGAATCGAACCCAGGGCCTCACACATGCTAGGCAAGTGCTCTACCACTGAGCCATAGCCCCAGCGCCTAGTTAACATACTTTCAATCAACTTTATTGAAGTACAACTTGAAAAAGATAAAATGTACTCATGTTAAACATAAGGTTTGATGATAAATGTATATACCTATATAATCATGACAATCAAGATATCACCTCCAAAAGTTCATCTGTACCCCTTTTTAATCAATTGTCACCCTCAATTACCGGCCAACTACTGATTATCTTTCTAACATAGATAGTTTGTATTTTCAGAATTTAATATAAATGGAATCCCATAAAATTATATTCTCCTGTGCCTGGATCTTTTATTCTAGCATGGTTTTTATATTCAACTATATTGTGCATACATCAATAATATATCTCTGCTTACAAACTGAGCAGTACTCCATTTTATATTCTATATAATACATACTGTATAATGTGTTCACCCATTATTTGCTTGTTGAGAAACATCTAGGTTGTTTTCATTTGTGAAGTTATTATCTATAAATCTACTTTAAACATTCATGTACAAGACTTTCTGTAGGCATGTGTTTTTATTTGTCTGGGATAAATACTAGTCATATCATAGGTATAGGTTATCAGAAACTGGTAAGCCATGTTCCAAATGTTTACACAATTTTGCATTCCCATCAGCAGCATGTAAAATGCTCCACACCCTCACGAACACTTGGTGTCACTTTTTCTGTTTTTAAAACTTTGGCCATTCTTATCAGCATTTAATGATATCCCATTGCACTTCCCAGATTATTAATGAGGCGGACTCATCTTTTCATGTCCTCATTGGCTATATATCTTGAGAGTTGATTCTTTTGCCCATTTTTAAAATTAGGTTGTCTTGCCAGTTGCAGTGCTACAAGCATGTAATCCCAGAAGCATCAGAGGGTGAGGCAGGAGGATCTCGAGTTCAAAGCCAGCCTCAGCAACTTTGTGAAGAGCTAAGCAACTCAGTGAGACTCAGTCTCTAAATAAAATGCATAAAAGGGCTGGAATGAGACTTAGTGGTTAAGTGCCCCTGAGTTCATTCCCCAGTATCAAAAAAAAAAAAAAAAAAAAAATTAGGTTGTCTTATTATTGAACAAGGTTTTTAATGTTTTGGAGACAAGTGCTTCGTCAGACATGGTGCTAACATCTTCTCTGAGTCTGTGGCTTGCTTCTTCATTTTAACTCTGCATTTCAAAGAACAAGTTTTTAATTCTGATAATATATCATTTATCAACTGTTTCATTTGTGGCTTGTGGTTATAATTACAGTGACCCATCTATGAATTTTTTTTATATTTATTTTTTAGTTGTAGTTGGACATAATATCTTTATTTAACTTATTTATTTTTTTTATTGGTTGTTCAAAACATTACAAAGCTCATGATATATCACCTTTCATACATTTGACTCAATTGGGTTATGAACTCCCATTTTTACCCCAAATACAAATTGCAGAATCACATCGGTTACACACTCACATTTTTACATAATGGCATATTAGTGACTGTTGTATTCTGCTACCTTTCCTATCCCCTACTATCCCCCCTCCCCTCCCCTCCCCTCCCATCTTCCCTCTCTACCTCATCTGCTGTTGTTCAATTCTCTCCCTTATTTATTTTTATGTGGTGCTGAGGATCGAACCCAGGGTCTCGCACGTGCGAGGCGAGCGCTCTACCGCTGAGCCACAACCCTAGTCCCTATCTATGAAATTTCTGCCCACCTCAAGGTAGCAAAGACTTGCTATCTGGTTGGCATTTAATCAGATGCTACATAAAAACAGTTAATAAAGGACTCTAATAGTTGGCTTTTTGTTTTTCTTTCCTTTGTTTTTTTTTTGTTGTTGTTGTTATTAGGCATTGAACCCAGGGGCACTTTAACACTGAGCTATCTCTAGTCCTCATTATTTTTTACTTTGAGACAGGTTAATACTAAGTTGCTGAAGTTATCACTAAAATGTTAAAGATAGATTAGAACTTGTGATTCTTCTGACTCAGCCTGGCAAGTCACTGGAATTACAGGTATCTGCCACAGTATCCAAGTCTGGGAGAGGTTTTTTGGGTTTTTTTTTTTTTTTTTTTTTTTGGTAGGAGGGTGCAGGGGATTGAATTCAGGGGCACTCAACCACTGAGCCACATTCCTAGCCCTATTTTGTATTTTGTTAGAGGCAGGGTCTCACTGAGTTGCTTAGCGCCTCACTAAATTACTGAGACTGGCTTTAATTTGTGATCCTCCTGCCTCTGCCTCCGATCCACTGGGATTACAGGTGCCAGGCCTATAGGCACCCACGTGGGAGTTTTTATACTTGTTTTAACATTTATGTTTTTTCCTGATTAAAAAAAATACCATAAAACAATTCAAATTCAAAATTAAAATAATAATAATTAAGAGTGCCTAAATTATCATCCAAAAAATTCTGAGAATGAGAAAAGGGCACTACCTTAGAAAACAGGCGTAAATTAGAATTTTAAGCCAGGAGGCTGAGGCAGGAAGATCCCAAGTTCAAGACAGCCTTGGCAACTTAGCAAGGTCCTGTCTCAAAAAGTAAAAAGCGGTGGGGAGAGCTGGGGTTGTGGCTCAGTGGTAGAATGTTCACCTAGAATGCATGAGGCACTGGGTTTGATCCTCAACACCACTTAATAATTAAAAAAAAAAAAAGGATGAAGATCAGTGGTGAAGCGCCCCTGGATTCAATATATGATACCGATAACAAAACAAAAAGGGGCGGGGGGAGGGCGCGCTGAGGCTGGGAGTATAAACAGTGGAATAGCACTTGCCTGGCATGAGCAAGGTGCTAGGTTCAATCCAAGTACCACACAAAACAAAACTAAAAAAATAAAATTAAGGATTTCTACTGAACAAAGCTCATTTTGAACAAAATAACTAACATACAAGATATTTGCTATATACAAAGCTGACAAGGAATAACTAGAGCTTAACATTAACCAAAAAATTTCTGATGATAAAAGCATTCTATATCTATGCTATCCAATACAGTAGTAACCATTTACATATGGCTACTGAGAACGTAAAACGTAGCTTATTTGAGGACAGGAAATTCAATTTTTTCTTACAGTACTGGGGGCTGAACCTAGGAGTGCTGAGTACTGAGCTACATCCCCAGCCCTTTTTATTTTCTACTTTCTGACGGGGTCTCACTAAGTTTGAGAGGCTGGCCTCCAACTTCATGAACCTCCTGCCTCAGACCCCTTCTAGTTGCAATTAAAGGTGTATATTACCATACCTAGCAAACATATTTTTTTCTGTATTAGGGGTTGAACCCAGGGGCGTTTAACTACTGAACCACATCCCAAGCCCTTTTTTACATTTTATTTAGAGACAGGGTCTCACTGAGTTGCGTAGGGCCTCACTAAATTGCTGAGGCTGGCTTTGAATTCATGATCCCCCTACAATAACCTCCCAAGGCTTGGGATTATAGGCATGTGCCACCAGGCCTGGCTTTATTTAATTTTAATTAATTTGTATTTTAGTCAGTGGCTAAAGCTACCACATTACATAACATAGATATAGAATTTAAAAGAAATTAATTCTTCAAAAACAAGAGACAACAATCCTAACAAGAAAATGGACAAAGGATATGAAAATTTCCAGAAAACTCCAATCTAATAAATATATAATCGATGCAATATATTCATTAGTGATGCCGGGCGTGGTGGCGCACACCTGTAATCCCAGCGGCTTGGGAGGCTGAGATAGGAAGATCGTGAGTTCAAAGCCAGCCTAGGCAATTTAGTGAGACCCTGTCTCTAAATAAAATACAAAAAATAGGGCTGGGGATGTGGTTCAGTGGTCAAGTGCCCTGGAGTTCGATCCCCAGTACCTTCAAAAAAAATTCATTAGTGATGAGAAACATACAAGCAAAAATAATGTTACTTACCACTTCACACCTATTGTAGTAGCTAAATTTATAAAGGATGGCCTCAAACTCTGTGAACTGATAAAGGGTTGAAAAAGAAGAAACAGGAACCTTCATAAGCTGATAGTGTGCAGACTAAAACAGCCATACCGGAGTACAACCCAACACCATTACATGAACTTACATTTGATGTATCCCAGCAAATCTGCTTATGGGTCTCTATTCCAAAGAAATTCTCACAAAGTTCTTCCTCAAGGAAACAAATATGAAGCTGATATACAGCATTAGCTGTGGTAGTGGTCACAGACTAGATGCCCATAATGACAAAAACGGACAAGTAAAATGTGATAGATACATACCACAGAGTATTAGAAAGACAGAAGCAACAAATTATAAATTAGTATGGTGGGGTGCGGGGGAGCAATTGAAATACAATAATATATCTAGACAAAATGACATTAAACACATCAGAATGGTTTTCTGTGGGGGAGAGAAAATGGGTTGTAAATATAAAACAAGCAAAACAAGAGCGCTTTATACAGTGCACTTAAAAATCTGTTATGGGCTGGGGTTGTGGCTCAGTGGTAGAGTGCTTGCCTCACATGTGTGAGGCACTGGGTTTGATCCTCAGCCCCACATAAAAATAAATTAATTAAGTAAAGGTATTGTGTCCATCAACAACTAAAACATATATTTAAAAAAAAAAACCTGTCATGAGCTGAGTATGATTAACACAATATTTTGCACTTAAGAATAAAAATAGGGGCTGGGGATGTGGCTCAAGTGGTTTCGCGCTCACCTAGCATGCTTGAGGCACTGGGTTCGATTCTCAGCACCACATAAAAATAAAGATATTGTATCTACCTAAAACTAAAAAATAAAAGATTAAAAATAGAGGAGAGGGGTTGGGTGAGTGGCACACATCTGTAATCCCAGAGGTTCAGGAGGCTAAGGCAGGAGGATCACAAGTTCAAAGCCAGCCTCAGTAAAAACAAGATGCTAAGCAACTCAGTGAGACCCTGTCTCTAAATACAAAAAATGGTTTGGGATGTGGCTTAGTGGTCGAGTGCCCCTGAATTCAATCCCGAGAACCAAAAAAAAAAAAAAAAGAGGACTGGGGTTATAACTCAGTGGTAGAGCACTTGCCTAACACATGTGAGCTACTAGGTTCGATCCTTAGCATTATATAAAATAAATAAAAGTACTATGTCCATCTACAACTAAAAATATTTTTTTAAAAAAGAATAGAAAAAGAAAGTGGCTTAATCATTCCAATTTTATTTTGAAGGTAAAACTAAAAGGAAATATGTAAGAGGAACCAAAGTAATTTTTGTTATAAAAGAAAGTTAAATGTGTCTTTAAGTGGGATGGAAAAAACTAGAGGAAGAGCAAGTTGGGGAGAAATACAGAATTCAATTTCACACATTAAGTTGGAGATAATTAATTTAATATATTTTAAGTAGAAATACAATGTAGTGGGTCTAAGGTCCATAAGAGGGTGAAGTGCTACATTTCACAATCATTAGAAAAAATATTCAGGAATTTGAGGCATAGGAACTAGAAAAGATTCCTATTCTGAGTGAACATAGAGAAGAAAAGAATCAATCCATTTAAAAATCTTAAAGATAGGGCAAACCAAGTAAAAGAGACCAGAAAGGAACACTGGTCTTCTACTGACCAAATGACACAAATGTTTTAAGAGGGAGTGATGAACTGTCATGTTTTAAAGGAAGATGTGGGTAATAAATTGGCCATTAGATTTAACATGAGGGAAGTCGTAAGTGTCCTTGATAAAAGCAGATAAGCATTTAAGAGAATCTACACAAAGGCTCAGGTAGAAGGATCACACTTTCAAGGATAGTCTGGATAACTCAGTAAGACCCTGTTCAAAATGGGTTGAGACAAGAAATCTGAATTCTACTTCTGAATCTGCCACCAACAGCATAACACTGAATCATAGTATTTCTTCTGTCCTTAGTTTTTCTCCCCCCCCACAAAAAAAAAAAAAAAAAGCAGTTGGGGGGGGGGGGTCCAGAAGATATAAGAGGTCCTGAAGTCCCTTCAAGTTTTTGGTTTTTTTTGTTTTTTGTGGTGCTGGGGATTGAACCCAGGGCCTTGTGCATGCAAGGCAAGCACTCTATCAAATGAGCTATATCCCCAGCCCTCCTTCAATTTTTTTGTTTGTTTGTTTTGTTTGGGGGGAGAGGGGCATGCTGGGAATTGAACTCAGAGGCACTTAAGAACTGAACAATATCCCTATCCCTTTTTTCATTTTTTGAGACAGAGTGTCTTTAAGTTGCTAAGGGTGGCTTTCAAATTGTAATCCTCCTGTCTCAGCCTCCTGAGTTGCTGTGATTATAGGCATGTGCCACCACACCCAACTTAAATTATTTATGTATTTCTTTGCAGTACTGGGGATTGAACCCAGGGCTTTGCATATGCTAGGCAAGTGTTCTATCACTGAATTACATTCCAGCACTCCCTTCAAGTTTTGACATTCTACTCTGTCAAGATATTAGGTGAAAACTATGCCTTTTACCCTAGTATAATATCTAAGCTCAACAATTCCAGGCTGAAGAACAGGACCACATAAGGAATGATATCTTAGGATGGTAGCCCTGAACACTCACCTGCAATAACCTGACGGCCTCTACCTTTCCCATCCTTGGCACCTTCAATGATACCTGGGAGATCCAGAAGCTGCAACAAAAAGCACAGGAAGAAGGGAGAGGAAAGAAACAGTTGGTTATAAATTTGAAAAAATCAGTGGAAGGGAGCAACTGCAAAAGATTATATGCTAGTACACTGATTCTTGGAACATTTTCAAACATCATTTTTCTGTATGTTTTGTGCATTTTGTTTTGCTGTGTTCATGGTATATAGAATAGACAAATGAATCCCAATGTCATAATATCTAATCTCTAAGTATTAAACAGGTTGCCAGTGTAGGACAAAATAGTAAAATTAGCACATTTTATGCACTGTATTGAAATTCATAGGAAAACATGGACTCTGTAAATGAATTTTGGATATCAATTTCTTCAACCAGGGGCTGGGAATGTGGCTCAAGTGGTAGCACGCTCGCCTGGCATGCATGGGGCCCTGGGTTCGATCCTCAGCACCACATAAAAATAAAATGAAGATGTTGTGTCCACTGAAAACTAAAAAATTAAAAAAAAAAAAAAAAAAATTTCTTCAACCATCTTTAAGCTTTACATATTTCTATACTTACCCACTGAACTGAACGTAGAGAGAAGGAAGTGAAAGAGAAGCTGCAACCCAAAATGGTTATATTAGAAGATATCTCAGATTATAACCATTGTTACATATGTGATTTTATTTACCAGTGCTGTGTACACAGTGTACAGTCTCATCCTTTAAGATATTTAAATGAACTTCATAGATTTGAAAAGTAGAGGGCTGGGGTTGTAGCTCAGTAGGGGCTGGAGTTGTAGTTTAGTGGTAGAGCGCTTGCCTTGCATGCATAAGGCCCTGGGTTCAATCCTCAGCACCACATAAAAATAAATAAATAAAAATAAAGATATTGTGTCCATCTACAACTAAAAAAAAATATATTTAAAAAAAAGTAGAATAAAGGGCTGGGACCTATTAGCTATTTTCCTTGGGAAAATGCCTTACATTTTTTGTACCCTATCTTTCTCATCAATAAAGTAGATAGATATACAATAACTGAAAAAAAAAAAAAAAGGGCTGGAGTTGTAGCTCAGTGGTAAACCATTTGCCTAGCAAGTGTGAGGCACTGGGTTCGATACTCAGCACTACATAAAAATAAATTTTAAAAAAGTAGAATAAAAAGAAACTTCTTGTAAATAGCTTTTAAAAACTGATAAGAGGGGCTGGGATTGTGGCTCAGTGGTAGAGCGCTCGCCTGGCACATGCAGGGCCCTGGGTTCGATCCTCAGCACCACATGAAAAAGAAGTAATGTGGAGATATTGTGTCCAACTACAACTAAAAAATAAATTTAAAAAAAAAAAAAAAAACTGATGAGAGGCCGCGGAAGGTGGTGCACGCCTGTAATCCCAGCAGCTCAGGAGGCGAGTTCAAAGTTCAAAGCCAGCCTCAGCAATGGCAAGGCTCTAAGCAACTCAGTGAAACCCTGTCTCTAAAATAGTGCTGGAGATGTGGCTCAGTGGTTGAGTGCCCCTGACTTTAATCCCCAGTACAAAAAAATAAATTAAAAAAACTGATAAGAGGGACTGGGGCTGGGGCTCAGCGGTAGCGCACTTGCCTGGCATGTGGGAGGCACTGTGTTCAATTCTCAGCACCATATATAAATAAATGTGATAAAGGTCTATCAACAACTAGAAACACTGTTTGGACTCAAACCACCTCTGAACAGTAACTATCTATACTCACTCACCGAGTTGAGGTAAATGGGAGGGAAACTCTTGTCACAGTATACTAGAAAATTTCAGCTTATCCATTACCTTGTATGTTACATGTATTTCATTTAACTTTGCTGTACTATATACATAGTTATACTTGACAAAGGAGATCTAACTTTATAATATCTAGTTTCTAGATATTAAAGAGGTTGCCAAAATATGACAAAAGTAAGAGTTAGTAAACTAATACATTTGTACATTTTGTGTTAAATTTCACTGAGTTACTGAATTACAGGCGTTCACCACCACACCCAGCCAGAAAAAAAAAAAAATTTTAATATTAGGGATTAAACCCAGGAGTGCTTATTCACTAAGCCACATTCCCAGCCTCTTCTCACTGAGTTGCTTAGGGCCTCATTAAATTGCTGAAGATGGCTTTGAACTTCGGGTCCTCCTGCCTCAGCCTGCTGGGATTACAGGCATGCACTACCATGCCTGGACTGTCTCAAAATTTTTTTAATTTTTTAAAAAGGGCAGGAGATATAGCTCAGTGATAAAATGCCACTGGATTTAATCCCTAGTACTGGTTAAAACTTTTTAAATAAAAAAATTTTAATTTCTTAAAGGGTTGGGTATAGCTCAGTGGTAGAATGTCCTTGGGTTCAATCCCCAGAACCAGAAAAAAATAAAAATTAAAAATAAATAGTTCTAGGGCAGGGGTTATAGCTCAGAGGTAGAGTGCTTGGATAAGCCCTTGGTCCAATCCCCAACACGGCAAAAAAGTAATAATAATAATTAAATAAATAAATAGTTCTAATTCTCTATACCTCCCCCACCAACTCACCAATGACAACTCACCTGCCCTAAAACAGTCTTTAAAAAGAAAAAAACAGGGCTGGGATTGTGGCTCAGCTGTAGAGCACTCGCCTAACTTGGGTGGGACCTGGGTTCAATCCTCAGCACCACATAAAAATAAAGGCATTGTGTTGTGTCCATCTACACCTAAAAAATAAATATAAAAAAAAAAAAGAAAAGAAAAAAACAGCCGGGCACAATGGCACATACCTATAATCCCAGAGGCTTGGGACGCCGAGGCAGGAAAATTGCGAGTTCAAAGCCAGCCTCAGCAAAAGCGAGGCACTAAGCAACTTGGTGAGACCCTGTCTCTACATAAAATACAAAATAGGGCTGGGGATGTGGCTCAGTGGTTGAGTGACCCTGAGTTCAATCCCTGGTAACAACAACAACAAAAAACATTCTATAACAAAGCAGGAATGCACCTCACAATTCACTGCATAGTTCAACAAGGAGAAAAACAAATGCCACACCAATGTACCTGGCGAGTCTGGAGTGCCATAGTGAGCTGATAGGTACCAACAGATATCCTAAATTTCTAAGAGAAACACAGCAATTCTTAATTTGCATCAGACACCAAATGATACAGTAGCTCACAATTTCAACTTCAGATCCTACACTACATTGTTTTCAATTACAAATGATTCAAATCTTCAAAACGTTGGAATTTTAGAAGTTGCTATGGTACAAAAAATAAGTACCAGGGCTGGGGATGTGGTTCAGAAGTACCGCACTCGCCTAGCATGCATAAGACAGACCCTGGGTTTCATCCCCAGAACTGCAAAAAAATAAAAGTACTAGACAAAAAATCAACACAGAACACAGGCACAGTGTCACACTTCTGTTATCCCAGCGGCCTGAGAGGCTGAGGCAGGAGAATCATGAGTTCAAAGCCAGCCTCAGCAAAAAAGCAATGTGCTAAACAACTCAGAGAGACCCTGTCTCTAAATAAAATACAAAATATGGCCAAGGATATGGCTCAGTGATTAAGCATTCCTGGGCTCAATTCCTGGTACAAAAAAAATATAAAAATAAAAAGGGCTTGCTTGAGGTCTAGCTCAGTAGTGAAGCACCCCCAGATTTAATCCCTAATAGAGAAAGATAAAAGAGACAAAAAGCAAAAGAAAGAGGGCAGACAGAGGGGCAGATGGGACAGCCAAGTGGGTAGGCAAGAAAGCAAACGGAGACATTTGGGGTGCAACAGACCAGGAGTTTGGGAATTCCTTAACAGATTCAAATGTCATGAAATTCAGAATGCAACTTTTCTTTTCAAACTAGAACTGAAGCCCCTTTGTTTATTTTGAGAGGGTCTCATTAAGTTGCTAAAGCTGGTATTAAACTGTAATCTTCCTGCCTCAACCCGCCCAAGTAGTGGGATACAGTCATATGCCACCATGCCCAGTCAGAAGGCAAACATTCTTCACTATGCAGTCAATAAGAATATGCTTCACTATATTTTACATATACCTTCTTTCATATCTAAGGGAACCCCTCATTTAGGAGTGGTAAAACCATCATCTAAGAAAAATGTCTTACCTAGTATGCATGAGGTACACAACAACAACAAAAAAGAATCAAGTCATAATCAACCTCATTAGGCCTCACAACAAGAATTGCATCTCAAAAGGGTCTGATCCCATTACTTATTTATTAAAATTTTCTGGGCTGGAGTTGTGGCTCAGTTGTGCCCAGCATGTGTGAGGCACTGGTTTCGATTCTCAGCACCCACATAAATAAGTGAATAAAATAAAAGTCCATCAACATCTAAAAAAAATATTTAAAAAAAAAAATTTAGCTACAAACAATTTTAAAATTCAATTTCCTTCTGCCCTCTTTTTTTCTCTTTTTGTCCCTGTCTTTTATCTTTCTCTACTAGGAATTAAATCTGCGGGTGCTTCACTATTGAGCTAGACCTCAAGCAAGCCCTTTTTATTCATTCCCAACCTACCTTTGCAGATTCACCTTCCACTACTCCTGCTCTAAATTGAGTCTCACATCACAGAAAGACATTCACCAATACTGTTGCCTGGCACTTTTCCTTCTGTTTAGTGAAATCCTTTTTTTGTTTTGTTTTGTTTCATTTCAGTACTGAGGATTGAACCTAGGGATGCTTTGCCATTTGATTACATCCCCACCCCTTTATATTTTTTTTTTATTTTGAGTTAGGGTCTCACTAAATTCCTGAGGTTGACCTCAAACTTGCAATCTTCCTGCTTCAGCCTCCCAAGTCACCGAGATTAGAAGCATTATTACTGAGACCTACAGTGAAATTCTATTTTAAATTCAATCCACACCTCCAATTTCACTTTCTACATGAAGCTTTTGTTTAACCAGATCATTTTTCCCCATTCTCAGGTGAAAAACTAGTCCCTTCTTTCCTTGTATTTTCAAAGGCACTATTCATTGTATTACTGTATTTATATACTTATTGGTGTATCTTCCCTGCTACACAGTAAGAGCCTAGTAGATCAAAGATCAGACCAGGCATACAATGAGCTTCCAATAAAGCGCTTCTCAAATAAACATTAGATTTCTTAGCCAGGCGTGGTGGTGAATGCCTGTAATCCCAGCAACTCGAGTGGCTGAAGCAGGAGGATCGTAAGTTCAAAACCAACCTCAGCAATTTAGTGAGGCACTAAACAACTAATAAAAATTAAAAAGAGCTGGGGACTTAGCTCAGTGGTAACTTGATCCTGGATTCAATCCTGAGTATGGGGAAAAAAAAAAAGGAAAAAGGATTTCTTTCCTTCCTTTGTCTGCAAGCCCAACTCACCTGTATTTTGGCACCTTTGTATCTGATGACACCAGGCACAGTAGTCAGAGTAGTAAATTCATAGGCTGCCACTTCAGAATATACCCCAGCCAGGTTACTCAGTAGTGTTGACTTCCCCACAGATGGAAAACCCACAAACCCAATTCGAGCATCACCAGTCTTGGCCACATCAAAACCTAAAACAAAAATCAACAACAAAAAAGAGCTAACCCTGAGTTATTTAGACTCATCTAGGGGCTGGGGATGTGGTTCAGTGGTAGAGCACTTGTCTAGTATAAACATACAACATAGGGACACACATACACATACATACCTACCTACATACATACATACACACACACACACACACACAAACACACAAAATACTCCTTTCTCATTTTTGCTGCCAATCCCTCTAGGCCCTATTTCTTAAAATTTTTATAGTTTACCTCTAAAGTGTTACTCAAGCTCAGAAAATTCCTCCACAGCAAGTCATAACATTCAAACAGTGTTTGATATAAAAACTGTACTTTAAACTGCCATATAGCTGGGTGCAATGGCACATAACTGTAATCCCAGCAACTCAGGAGCCTGAGGTAGGAGGATAATAAGTTCAAAGCCAGCCTCAGCAACTTATCAAGGCCCTAAGCAACTTTGTGAGACCCTTTCTCAAAATAAAAAATAAAAAGGACTGGGGATATAGCTCAGTGGTAGTAGAGTGCTTGCCTAGCATGCATAAGACCCAGAGTTTGATCCCTAGTACTACAAAAAAGAAAAATAAAAGGACTGGGTATATGGCTCAGTGTTAAAAGCAACCCTGGGTTCAATCCCAGATATTAATATAAATAAGTATATACATACATATATACGTGTATGTGTGTGTGTGTATATATTAATGGTCTATATGTTACATAATACCTGATATAAAAAATAGGGGATTTCTTTGTCTTCCACACCTGGGAATGGTGTGACTGACTGGGTTTTCTTTTTTCCTTCTTCCTTTTTTTTATTAATATTTTTAGTTGTAGATGGACACAATACCTTTATTTTACTTATTTTTATGTGGCACTGATGGTCAAATCCAGTGCCTCACACATGCTAGGCAAGCACTCTACCACTGAACTACAACCACAGCCCCTGTTTTCATTCTTTCTTTTTTTTTTTTTTTTTTGGATGGACACAATATCTTTAAAGGATCCATCCCAGTGCCTCATGCATGCAAGGCAAGTGCTCTAACACTGAGCCACAATCCCAGCCCCCCTGTGTTTTCTTTTATTACAATGGTTGCACACAAGTTCAATTTGTGGCCCTTCTATAATGGATATGTGTAAGATGGGCACGGTGGAGCATGCATGTAATCCCACTGGCTTGGGAGGCTGAAGCAGGAGGATCAAAAATTCAAAGCCAGCCTCAGCAAAAGCAAGGCACTAAGCAACTCAGTGAGACCCTGTCTCTAAATAAAATACAAAATAGGGCTGGGGTTGTGGCTCAGCAGTTTTGTGCCCCTGAGTTCAATCCCTGGTATCAAAAAAAATAAAATAAAATTTTAGTGGGTGTGTAGATCCTACCTCTCTTGCTTTAACCTCTTATTCTTCATTTTCCCTTTGCATCAATTTCCTTACTTACATTAATTTTGTTGATGGTATAGAGTCACAGTTTTCTTTTTTTGGAATTTTTTTTTAAATTTTTTGTTGTTGTTGATGTTTATTTATTTATTTATTTATATGTGGTACTGAGAAAAACCCAGTGCCCCACACATGCTAGGCAAGTGCTCTACCAATGAGCCACAACCCTAGGCCCTAGATTCATGGGTTTCTATAAATCAATATAAATCTATTTTGGATCAGTGAAGGATATAATAAAGCCATATCTCACTTAGACAATATTTATTTGCCTCTGAAACTAACAGAGTAAAACAAAGTAAAAACAATTTAAGAATTCAGAATGAGGGACTGGAGGTGTAGCTCAGTGGTAAAATTCTTGCCCATCACACACCAGGCCCTGAGTTTAATCCTCAGCACCAAAAAAAAAAAAAAAAAAAAAATTCAGAGGGCTGGGGTTGTGGCTCAATGGCAGAGCACTTGCCTAGCATGTGTGAGGCACTGAGTTCAAATTCTCAGCACCACATATAAATAAATAAAACAAATGTCTATCAACAACTAAAAAAAATTAAAAATTTTTTAATTAGAAAATTTGAATTTTGATAGAAAAACTAAATTTTTAAAAAATATTTTTATTAGTTGTTGATGAACCTTTATATTTTATTTATTTATATGCAGTGCTGAGAATCGAACCCAGTGCCTCACAGACACTAGGCAAGTACTCTACTACTGAGCCAAAACCCCAGCCCTGAAAAATTAAATTTTTTGATAGAAAAATATTTATTACATGCAAACCACATGTATTCTTTGTATTGTTTTGATTAGAAGTTATATCCAAAAAAATATACTGAAGAAAAACACAAACCTTCTCCTGGCCCACCACCTCCACCACCTTTTGGAGTAATGAGTTCTCTACGAAGCTTAGCAAGGCGAGCCTTAAGCAGTCCTAGGTGATGTGCTGTTGCCTTGTTCTTTTGAGTTCGAGCCATCTATAAAGCAAAAAAATCACAGCCATAAATTAGAAGCAGCTCCCATGGGGTAAAATATCTAGAATGCTCCTCCAGCACTGAGACAAAATTTTATTTTGTTTTCTAAGTCCTACTAATGTCAGTATAACAATTTTAACTACTTAAAAAGAGTAAACTCTCATTCTCTCCATCATCCAGCTCAATTTCCTTTCTACAGAATAAATAAATGAGGTCCAAAGAGGAAACAAGATCAAAGTCCCTCCTATTAGAGTCCACAAACTAAAACCCATCTGCTGGGGCTGGAGTTGTGGCTCAGTGGTAGACAGAGCTTGCCTAACGTGTGTGAGGCACAGGGTTCGATTCTCTGCATCGCATATAAATAAATGTCCGTTGACAACTAAAAAAATATTAAAATAAATAAATAAGAGCTATTGCTGATTCTTTGTTTTACTGCTTGTCCCTGGTATGTCCCGTGCGAAACAGCATCACCACTTTCCTGGCTTTAAAAAGCTCTGTGCACCTCAATCAATAAAGACACAAAATAACCAGGAAAAATCAACTATTACCAAATAGATACCAATTTACTTTCAGATCCTATTGCCAGAAGCAATGCACTGAAAAAGGGAATCATTGGGGAGAGTGAATTGCACAGCAAATAATAATGAGGCAAGATCCTGAAATATGTGACTGGGGCAAGACCGAAGTATGGGAAAGGACTCAGTTTTGCTCAGAGACAAGAAATTAAAATTGAGAAAAACAACGTCATAGCAGAAGGTGAACCAAGAGCTAAAGGTGCCAAACGTGGGCCCGGCAGACTGGAGTCCGGGAACCGGGGCCCGTTCCTAACGTGGCTGAAGGGAGAACAGCAAAGTGTAATGTCGGGGAACAGATTCTCAGAATGAGAACGAAGCCCCAGCTGCAACCATTACCTCGGCTTCGATCTCCGCGATCTTTGCTAAGGTGCTGCTCATGGTGGCGAGTCTCGGGGGTACAACGCAATCTCCACAGAGTCACCCCTCACACACCAACCAGTGAACGCTCCTCCACCGCCAAAGCGCCACTGCAGTGCGCAGGCGCAGTACTTCGTAATTATCGCGAGAGTTATGGGACCTGCTGACTACAAGATGTACAGTGTAGAACGGTCTCTTTCCCTTCAGCCGACCCCTTCCTGTCCCGCGAGCCAGTGCGGTGTCATAGAGCCCTCCGGAGTCGGGGCCAGAGAGGCTACCCCCAGTCTCGGCCTCCCAGTGCGCGCCGAGGGTCGCGCGCAGCTCTGCCCTGCCCCGCCCCGCCTGACTTCCAATCTGCGAATGGCTTTGCGCGGAGGGGGAGTTATAGTGAGTCTGTCGGTGCTAAAGACTCCAGAGCCTGGACCGGGTTAAAAAGCGCACCTTCCGTCCCCATCCCTTTTCCTCACCCACCCCTCCCGGTCCAGGGCCCCTTTTTTTTAATCGCTGGGTACTGAGTTGGCTTAAAGGTCTTCAGCCCATCTCACCATCTTGGAAAAAGAAAATGCCATCACTCGGAACTATTTTTGAAGCATGTTTTGTTTACCCGGAACCCTGAGTAGAGTGTGTGGCACATAGTGAAACACAGTTAGTGCACAATTGAATGAATAATTCCCAGAGAACCGGTATTCGCAAAAGCTTGTAATACTACAAAGAAAGTACGTTAACACTCATTAGTATAGGGGAAAATAGTACCTCTGTCTTGTGAAAGTAAACCTATGATCTGACTGGAACGATATCCGAGATATGTTAAATGGACGAGTTACAACTACAGAACTGCACCTATGTAGTAAAATTACGTTATTTTTTAGAAGTGTATTTGCAGAGGCATAAGTGTATAAAAGTGCATCGGGTTTTTGTTTGTAGTTTTAGGGTCTGGAGTGCTGGGCAATTTTCTGCTAGTAAGCTACACTGCCAATCCTGAAAGTACATTGTTAAAAGGACTAAATAAAGGGACATTCCGAAATCGGGCATGCACCTGTACTCCCAGCCACTTGGGAGGCAAACAGAAAGATTTTTTTTTTTTTTTGAGAACTCATTCAAGTGCTTTATTGCAAGATAGCCAAGGAACCCCTCTGTCCTTCAGAAGATTTTTTTAATTGATTTTACTTTTTAAATACATGACAGCGGAATGCATTACAATTCTTATTACACATATAGAGCACAATTTTTCATATCTCTGTATATAAAATATGTTCACAGCAATTCATGTCTTCATACGTGTACTTTGGATAATAATGTCCATCACATTCCACCATCATTTCTAATCCCCTGCCCCCTCTCTTCCCCTCCCACCCTTCTGCCCTATCTAGAGTAGTCTATTCCTCACATGCTCCCCCTCCCTACCCCACTATGAGCCAGTCACCTTATATCAGAGAAAACATTAGGCATTTGTCTTTTGGGGAGATAATCCCAAGCTTTTAGCAGTAGAATGAGTTGGAAGGAAGGGGTAAGAAACTTTACTTTATTCTACATGTTCTCTGTATTTGAATTTTTTACAAGATGAATGCAACTATACACTATTTGTATAATAATAAAATTTAAAATATCAAAAGACACCTCTTTCCCAAGTGTCTTGTAAAGAAGCAGCCAGCACACCCAGGAGCTGTGTGCTGTTTTGAAAGCTGCTTATTTCTGCACATTGAGTTCTTGTTGATAGATTGATTAATCCATTGGGAGTGGATAGGCTAGGTTTAAACCTTACAGCTGGTCTCCACCCAGCCCTGGGAGAGACGTTTATTTATTTAAATTTGTAAATAAGAAGTATTCCAACTTGGAATACAAAGAAGGAAAAGAGGAGGTTTATTGGGCATAAGGGAGGGGAAAGGGAAAGGAAAGCTTTTACAGAAGGTCCTCAAAGGGCTCAGGAGTTTCCTTTTTTTTTCTTTACCCTCAGCCTTTTCATAAATAAATTAAGGGGTAATGAGGTAATTAGATCGTGCACCATTAGTAATGGAGGAGGAAAGAAGAGGAAAGGAAGTCCAGCTGGAATGAGGCAAGTTCAAAGATCAGTCTTAAAAGACAGATAAAATCAAATCAGCAGCCCTTCCCTAACTTAGAGTGCTTAAGGAATTAATTACCTGAAGATATCAAGGCATCACTGCTCTGGAGGAAGGTACTCCTTAGCAAATCTGTCATAGGAGGCCTGCCAGCTAAGTTAACCATTTAATTGCTCAAAGATACCCCAGGACCCACCGTGGGGAGCCCCAAGTTGTCAGTAGTGTGCCAAAGGATATAACTCATCTCCCTCAGGGTCCTAGCCAGCCATCCTATTCATTCAACAATTATTTACTGAGCTCTGACTGCCACCTGGCAGTGAGGCAGGGCTAGAAACAGAGCAAAAAGTGAATTAGATATTGTCCCTATGCTTAAGAAGTATCCATGTTGGGAGGCCAAGACCAGGCTCTTCAGCTAAGCTCTTAAGAGCTATAACTAGGCCAAGTCTACTCAATACTAGCTGCAACAAAAAAGGCCTCTTTTGTCATGTGGCTAAACAACTACAATCTGAGCATTGTATTCCTAAAAAATAAATAAGTAAAACAGTGAAAAAAAGACAAGCTTCATTTTTTTTCTTTTTTTTTTTATTGGTTGTTCAAAACATTACAAAGCTCATGACATATCATCTTTCATACATTTGATTCAAGTGGGTTATGAACTCCCATTTTTACCCCAAATACAAATTGCAGAATCATTTTTTTAATACCTTTATTATTTATACATGATTCTGAGGATCGAAACTAATGCCTCACACATGCTAGGCAAGTGCTCTACCACTGAGCTACAACCCCAGCCCCAAGCTTCATCTCCAACCACTCCAACCATTCTGAAATAACTGCACTTCTTCAAAACGGGCAGGCTTTCTCTAGCATTTGTTTTTCATGTTCAACATCCTTTTCTCCCACAGTGACCCTCCATAACCCCCATAAAGGATAACTCTTCCTCGTCTTGGTAGGTAAGGATAGGGAGGGGCCTTGCCTCTGGCTTTCCCCAATTGCAGGTTCTCACCCCATCTGAGCGCAATTATTCTGTTTATTTATCTGACTTCCATTAAACCTTGAACCCTTGAAGAAGAAGCCGTATGTATCTCCAGTCTCAGCACAGGGGCAGCTATAGCAAGTACTTAAAAGATTTATTAAACAAATGGTGATTTTAAAAAGGAATCATAAAAGCCTTACTAGCTCTCTGGCCATCTTGAAGGCTGCTCTTGGTTTGTGGCTGGGCCACATCTAAGGCATTAAGATGGTGGCCGTAAAACAGACGAAAAAGTTTCTGGAGTCGATCAACTCCAGCTTGTTATGAAAAGTGGAAAGTATGTACTGGGATACAAGCAGATTCTGAAGACAATCAGACAGGGCAAAGTGAAATTGGTCATCCTCGCTGAAAGTAAAGCGAGGAACTGGGAGACACCAGACAGAGATTAAACACAAGAGCTTATTTGTCAGAGCTGACAAATAAAGGTACATTCTCCATAGATGGAGAGAGGCAAAACAGGCTTGGGGTTTGGGACTTTTATGGGGGAGACTCAGGAATCAGAGCTGGGCGGTGAAGGGTCGGGTTGGTATGAGGGACTGGTGAGCTTTCAGAAAGGCCCTTGGGTGGGAAAGCGGACTTTTTCTTAAGATGTTAGCTGTCACTTAAGATACTATATACATTTTTCCCATTGAAAAAGGAGAGAAATGAAAGTATGAAAATAACTAACTTAAGTAACACAAGATCCAATGGGGCAATTATCAAAAAATAAATAACAATGTGCCTGTTAACAGGAAAAAGTGCTAACATCTGGTTTCAGGCAGAAGAGGGTTCAGAAAGACATGAGCCTGGGAAGATGGGGATGGAAACTGATAAAAGAAAACATTCCTGTTGGGGCATGGTGGCGCATGCCTGTAATTCCAGCAAACTGGAAGGCTGAAGCAGAAGGATCACAAGTTCCAGGCCAACCTCACCCCTAAAACATTTAGCAAGCCCCTGTGTCAAAATAGAAAATAAAAAGGGGCTGGAGATGTGGCTCAGTGGCTAAGCACGTCTGAGTTCAATCCCTGGTACCAAAAAGGAGAAGGGGAAACATTCCAGCATTTCCAGCATACAGATGGGAAAAAAAACAAGGGAGATAAGTGTTAGGTCGGTGGTGGCGACTTAGTGGCAACTTAGAATAAAGCAGCCCACGCTGGAAAAGAACATCAATCAGATGCCGGCGGAAATGCCTGTCAATCAGCCACATCTCCTGACTAATGCCTGTCAATCAGCGGGACCCCCTGGCCAATCCTGGAGTTCAGCCAACTCCCCTGACCAACTCCAAGGGGGCAAGGGACCCTAGAAACACCTTTTCCTGTCCCAAGCCCTTCCCTTCCTGCTGTAAGCCCCATAAAAGTCCAGTCCAGTCGAGCTTCCACGCGGTTTCTCCTCTGACCCTTCCCCTGTCCCCTCTGTGGGTCTGATCGAGTTCCGCCCGGGAGTGATATCTCAATAAAGCCTGTTCAGTGGCCCTTTTAAATCTGCCTCTTTGGCCGCTGCCTGCCTTGTCTGATCTGACAATAAGGGTATAGCTCAGTGGTAGAGCACTTGTATAGCATGCAGTGAGGCCCTGGATTTGATCCCCAGCACTGCAAAAAGAATAAAATATGTGTATGTACGTGTGTATGTGTGTGGTGTGTGTGTGTGTGTGTGTGTGTGTGTGTGTGAGAGAGAGAGAGAGAGAGAGAATATATATATGCAAAGCCAGGACAGGGAAAGTACATACCTGCAAAGTCCCCGATAGAGACTAAAGAAAGAATATAGGGTAAGGAAGTCCCAAAATAGAAAATTATTTCTGAATATCAACATCATGTACACTTGAGATCATGAATATGGTTGACACTGACAGTTTTTTGGATAAAAAGCAAAATAGTACCATCTAAATGATATAATTCACTTTCTTTCCTTTGCACTTTCTCCTTGAGAAAGTTGTAAATAAGTCCAAAAAAATTGTAATAATTGTTCTAATTAAGTATTCTTGAAACAGAAGAAATGAACTAAAGAGAAAACTAATTAAAACCCTAAACTGAAGCTGGACATGGGTGGGACACACCTATAATCTCAGCTACTTGGGAGGCTGAGGCAGGAGGATCAGAAATTTCAAGTCAGCCTGGGCAATTTAATAAGACCCTA